GTTTTTGAGTGATGAGGGGTCAAAAGTGGCTCCAAGTGGTTCGTCTAAATATACACACGGTGTAACTTCGCTCGCTGGAACTTCGCTTAACATGCTTAGAATGTTTGCTCAGTGTGATCTTTCGAAAACTATACAAGATATAGAAAAACTTGACTATGTCAACTGTAGCTTTAATCAGCTTTTTTTGGTTCATAGTGGTCATATCTCTAGGTCGCATAGTTTGTAAGAATTAAGCGAAAAACCGAATAAAGGCACTTTCGAACCCCGNGACTTTCTTTTATATATATAGATTAAAAGCTAGTAATTTTTGTTTTGTTTTGTTGTAACAAGTTAGAAGTCGCTGGAATTCAGATATATTTCAACTGAACGCTATTTTAGAACTGTAAACATAGTTAATAAAGTTTATTCTATGTGTGACAGTTACTTTTTAACACGCTTTTTCTTTATTACCAGTCTATATCCGATTATCCGAATCGACCCCGGTCCCAATTAATTCGGATAAATCGGCGTTCTACTGTATAGCGACTTTTAACGCAAATTTTACCGCGATACCGAATTGCATATTAAATGACTTCTAATAGTTTGATTTTGCCCTGTTCAATATCGCCGTCTATATCCTACTGGCACCCTGGGCATTTAAAATCGCAAAAATAAAACTTTTCTGAACTAACTAATGTATTCACAGGTTAACTTTTTTACCTGCACGTGACTAGAGTGCCCAATAGAAAGAGGTGCCTGATTTAATCCCCAGCGGACTATCAATTGGCGTGTTGTTTGTCTCTACCATCCTAACTCTAAAACGGATGAACCAATTTTCATCATCATCATCATCTCAGCCACAGGACGTCCACTGCTGAACATAGGCCTCCCCCAATGCTTTCTATGTTGCCCAATTTTTATTAACGAGTAGGTATTCTTTTATCTTCCAGACCAGAGCGCCCTCGGACCACGTCATGTGCATCATCAGTGTCTGTGGTCAGCGACCACGACCCGCAGGACCCCGCCATACCCAGCGCTGTGGACCCTTTCAGTGAGTATACCAAATACTAAAGAGGACAAGAGGGACCCAGTAAAAAAATTTGTCAGGGCTGATTGCACTCTCCTTAGTCAGACTGACCCTCTTCTCCGGTTAGACCCCTTTCCTCCGTGGGTCAGACTGCCCCCGTCCACTAGGTCAGACTGTCCCCTTCCACTAGGCCAGACTGCCCCCGTCCACTAGGTCAGACTGTCCCCTTCCACTAGGCGAGACTGTCCCCCTCCACTAGGTCATACTTTCGCTCTCCATTAGGCGATACTGTCCCCCTTTACTAGGACAGATTGTCCTCCCCCTCTCCAGGCCAAATTGTCCCCTCTCACTCAAAAGCAGAAAGGACCAGAGCGCCCTCGGACCACGTCATGTGCGTCGTCCGTGTCTGTGGTCAGTGACCACGACCCGCAGGACCCCGCCATACCCAGCGCTGTGGACCCGTTCAGTGAGTATATCAAATACTGAACGGACCTTCCCTACGTGTAGCTTGACAGCCACTAAAAACCCAACCAGTGAAGGCCAATTTTGTCACAGGGAAATGTTAAAATGTGAAATACTGAAGGGACGGCAGGGGAGGGCATTTTCCCTCCCCCCATAATTAATTGGCCCCTCCTGGCTCAGTCCCCTCAAACTCAAAAGGAGGGCAGCTTCCCTCTTCCCTTATTTGGGTGCCTCTAGGCTCAGAACAATTGGGTTAGACTGTCCTCCCGGCTTAAAAGCCGAAAAGCTAATTCAATTTTTTTCAAATTCATAATCTTTATTGCATTCTATGTTGTACATAAGGTCTTAAACAATATACACTCGGCATCAAATAAATCGCACCACCCGCGACAAGCACTTATCAAACGTATGTATTCCCACTTTCCACCAACATTGGTACCATTTGAAAGCCTAGTTCTAAACTTCATTTCATTAAAGGAAAGGTTTTTACTCCAAAAATGTGTCTTTAGAAGGATCCAGAGTCACTTCTTAAAAAAATAGGTAGTTACGTTGGACAAACTTTTATGGCTATAAAACTGTTAAGTTGGGATTAATAGGATTAATCCATCTGTTAAAAAGGACACGTAAGATCATTATTTGGTTTTAACCACAAACATTGGTCTACATGAGCCCGTAGGTGAGCCCCAAGTGAGGCCTTTTTTCAGGTCACATTTATGGTACCTGTTAAGTGTTTATAAAAAAAATAAATGTGTTTTTCCTAAAGTTTATTTATTGGGCTTTCAAATAATACCAATAATGTTGGGGCACCATGATTGTGTCAGAAGAAAATCTTTAAAGTTCGCGTCGCGGAAGGTGCGATTTATTTGATGTTGAGTATATTATTATTGTATAGTCTCAAACATAGACCCGGTTTGGCAACATTGTGTTTTACAAACATTTATTTATTAATTCGGCATGCATATTAGTGTTAGTAATTTCAGAAATATTGAAAAATCTTAATTTTAACTGGAAGTAGGTATTTGATGTCATAATTTAATTTAATAAAGCTAGATACTTTCTAGAGCGGAACTACGTCATGTGCGTCGTCAGTGTCTGTGGCTGTGGTCAGCGACCCTTTCAGTGAGTATAACTGTCCTAGGAGACGGGGAGGGAGGCTCAAACCATGCGGGTCTGACTACCCCCCTGAGTCAGATTACCCCCTCCCCCGTGGATCAGACTACCAGGTTCAGAAACTAGGACTTTGTTACCGCGATCTCATAATAACCTTAACTTCGAACTCCTATGTTCTTCTGATTAATTTCGTTGCGGGTCCAATGACAGTTTAACTTTCCCCCGGGGCAAACTTAACCTTCACTGATTGGGTTGTTGGCGGTCAAGCTGTAGATCCTGGCTACACAGGAGTTGCAGCGGTGGGAACGAGAGGTGGGAATACCGTTTACCGCGATCTCATGCGACCACACAGAAAGAGACAACGTGGTACTTATTACAACAAACAACAAAAAACATACAAAATCACACGTGCGCCTGTCTCTGTCGCGCTCGCACACTCACTGCGGCCGCCCGTCGCACAGTCGCGACAGCAATATAATTACGCGCGAGCGATAAGGATGGGTAGCTTAGGGTCATTGGACGAAATTCTACGTGCTCACAGACCGGACTTCGATCGTGAGCCGCAATAGCCAGTCGTGATCTGAGAGCCTCCGCGAACGTACGTGTAGGTACACTCACCTGTGTTGTGATCTAAGAACGTTTGTAAACGTACTTGTGCACACCCGGACGGTTCAGTTTTGTGCTTACTACTTTGGAATTTTATTTTTTTTGTCTCCATTACAAAGTTCACATCAACGACCTACATCTTCTACATAATTAGTAGGTATGTACTTATGATATAGTGAGAAGTTGGTAAAAATTACTAGGAAATCATCAAAAATGTGTTAAAATAATTTTAAACGTTGGAACGTTTATGTGATTTGTGCATACAAAATGTTGTCATTAAAGCTCGATATTTATGATGATGATGACTATCCTAACTGAATTAAGTTACGTTATTTTACAGTGAAAATTTTTCAGTTTTTTCCTGTGGCAACACTACCGCTAACAGCTGATTTGAACTTGTCCCAATTTATTTACTGATTTTTATTTAATTTAATATCATAAAAGGTCTCTAAACTCATCACTGTTACTGTTTTATGTAATTATAAGTGAAATAACGTTTAAATCTGTGTATTGCATTGTGTTTATGGTGCAAATTGNCCTGTCTGTGTCCCAACCGGCCACACAAGAAACACTTGCCTTCATCGAACCGTCTTTTTCTCGGAGGTAAATTAGCGACGTTTTTGTTATTCCCGGCGAACGTATTTTGGGACACGACACGAGCAGAGTTAGCCTTAGGCGTACTAGGCTTCACGTATGTTGAGAAAAATTCAACAAAATCTATTTTAACGGTAAATAATATTTACCCTCCCGACGTTTCGGCTCGGTTGCACGAGTCATGGTCGCGGGCAGACTGAAGAGTCGGCGGCGTCGTCTGTCGTTATTTACCATTAAAATAGATATTGTTGCAATAATCCCGTGAAGTNAAGCAAAAAAGTTAGTTGCCGAAATCAATGACTTATTTTTATGCCATACACAAATGGGATAGTTACCATGACTATGAAATTTAGAATTACGGTTATTATTACGATAAAGCAGGTACATTTTTCATGTTAATTTTAATCCCTTAGCAAATTAAATAAAAATGTATTTATGTACAATTTAATGCTGTTGAAACATTGTTAAACAAATAAAATAAAATAAAATAAAATGTGATTCGTAATTGACTCGATCATAGCAGAAACTAAACGCTATCTAATTATCTACCTGTGATTATTCGCAGTCTTTAGTATTCCGAAGTAAATAAGTANTCTCCTACAATATTTTATTTTTCAGTAAAATTACACTGCCTTAACATATTATTCTGTAATGGTACATGAGTTTGTTTCTAAGATACTCCATCTAGGTGTACTTAGATGGGATGAAAATGGTTTGATTTTACTGCTCAAGTAAATAATGCGATTTAAATTCTTTGTTGTTATTCGACAAATTAACACGTTCGAAAAATAAATAAACAAGCCATTGAGAAAGATACAGAAAGATAGGGGAGGAAGGGAGAGGGAGAGAACGAGAGAGGGAGGGGAGAGAACGGGACTATTCCCACCTCTCATTGCCCACCGCTGCAACTCCTGTTTATAGTCTGGTCTGTGAGCGCGTAGAATTTTGTCCAATGACCCCAAGCTACCCATCCTTATCACTCGCGCGTAATTATGCTGCTGTCGCGCTCGCACACTCACTGCGGGAGCCCGTCGTACAGTCCCGACAGCAATATAATTACGCGCGAGCGATAAGGATGGGTAGCTTGGGGTCATTGGACAAAATTCTACGCGCTCAAAGACCGGACTTTAGCAGGATCTACAGCTTGACTGCCAATAAAAACCCAACCAGTGAGGAGAGAGAGAAAGGGAGAGAGGGAGCTCATTTACAAATGTTCACTCACCACCATGTGCCTCTTCAGTCCGCCCTTAGAATGGAAAGTGCGCCCGCACACGTCGCACGAGTATAGCGTCTCGCGAGTGTGCATGTTAAGGTGCATCGCCACTGTGCTTCGCTGTAGACAAAATACATGTTAATTGATAATAGTTTTACAAATAATAGCCGTTCAAGAGCAATTTCAGTAAAAGGGTTGAAACTCACGGGGGCGCCATTACGCGTCTGTATAAATAGTATGAGCAGTGCAATGCGCCGCGGACACGTGGGCAGGCAAGTTTTAGCGTACGCTCTAAGTGGCTAGCGAGTATAAACCTAAATCTTCATTTGCCTTTGGTAAATTAATGAGAGTTGCGCTCCTGCAGTGGATACGAAATATTCTGGATTGTGATACTTATGCTGTCCTTGTCTTTGCTATTGGACCCTTGTTTTGAAGTTTTAAAAAGTACGTCAATGGACAAGTTTCGTGATGTTGAAATCATTAGATTTCACTGAATGGGATTGAAATATAGACCAAAACTAAAAAGCCGGTGAGGTTATTTTTGAAATCCATCAAGAAATGGCTGAGAAATTAATTATTTTAATTGCCTCCATATTTTCGCGCGAAACTTAAAAATAGGCGGTGACGTAATGTCAGGCCACCTGCCCCCCTAGACAAAACGCACTTTTTGATCGAATCGAAAATCGAATCCGTCAAATTCCATACAAAAAAGGGGCTTTTCGACCACTTTTCGACTGGTTTGCGATTATAATGGCACTTTGTCTAGACCCACTGTTCAAGTTTCAATCACAATGCTTACCACCCCTAACCATAAAGTTAAATTCCTTCGGAATAGAGCAACAAAGAATGAGCGAGCGAGATGTCACTATCTGCAACCCTGTGTGATAAAAAGAGATGTGTGATGCTATCATCGTCACGTCAATAGAACCATTTTTGCAAAAGATTTGACAGGCAGTGACACATAGAGGCACAAAGCAGAATTTCAAATCACAGTTTTTTCTAAAAATTTCGTAAAACCTGTATAGTTTTGGAATTTTTTTATTGTAATACAATGGTGACCTGTTCCGTCCTTGATTGTGATGTACACCAGAGAAATAATCCCGCAAAATATTCATTTCACAGGTAAATTTATTGAAATCGACACCTCCAAACTTTAGCTTTATTTTTGTGAATGCGCTTAGAATTTTAAGCACTAAGTGTGATAATTATGTTCTTTAAACATTAATTTAAGTTGTAAGCAAAGATTTCATGCACATAATCCAGAATTTATGAATATTTTGTGTAAAGAAATAATTTTCGTTTTACACTAGGGCTGTGTACCACAATCGATAAATATATTTTGTGCACTGTCTATCACCGTCACCTGGGAATGTAATAATATGAGTTTCTGACTATTATAATAGGTACTAATTAGTAAAGTATCTTTCAGATTTCCGACTAACGAAGATGTAAGAAAAACATGGCTCAAATTAATTAACTAAATATGCCACTTTATGTAGCAAACATTTTGATAGTAAATGTTTTCGAAAAATTGGAGCCAGAATCACGTTGAAAAAATGTGCAATCCCTACAGAGTTTGTTCCGGTAAGTTTAATTAAAATAATACTATTTCTGGCAATAAATATTTTCATTTTCATTTTCTTCTGATGATGTTTCGTTGGTTAGTAATGTCAATTTATTACCTTGATCTGGTTGTTTTCATTGTTTTGATAAAAAATGTTTAACTATAAGTTATAATTAAACTATGATTTCTATGAAATAGTCAAACACGGGTCTTAACGCGACGTTTATTAATGAGTTACATTATGTACTCACGGCTTGACGTTTCGGCTGCGATGCTGCAGCCGTGGTCACAAGTAGACTGGCGGTTCGCGGCGTCGTCCGTTCGGGTGGGCATGAAGATTTTCAACTACCCTCATAATAATATAAAATCTTATATGATTTCTATAGTCAATTCTTTCTTTATTTTTCACAGGTGAAAGTAAAGCCTACACGCACAGTTATATGATTTCTATAGTCAATTCTTTCTTTATTTTTCACAGATGAAAGTAAAGCCTACACGCACAATGTCGTCGTACGTGAACAGAGATATTTTACCAGAGGGATCTACATTATCGTCTAGATCTCCGCCGCCGACACCACAGCTTCAGAATTATCATTTTTATTTATTGACTTACTCTTACTAATTAGAAATCAGAAAGTTTGTATGGATGTCTTGATGTTTGTTGCTCTTTCAATTAAATCAGTTAAATCATTTTAATCTTCTGAGTTTTATTTTTATTTTCCACTCTCCCATATACGGATTGTATATGGACATTCTATCCTATTTTAGTTCCATTAATATTACTACTGTTAGGTGTTAATTAATATAAATCGATATCGATATTCATGTGAAAAGTAACGACATACATCACTAGCATGCACACATATTTATATTTACACACACAAATGACATCTCATTTTTGGTTTCGTTTGACAGCTCGTGATTGTTGCTCTATTCCGAAGGAATATTAACTTTATGCCCCTAACGCATTGTCGAGAATGAAACTATAATGTCAGTCTTCTTTTTCTTTTTAAATATGGTCAGGTCTTGGATAATTATGTCAAAAAAGGTTACACAATTTTACTACGAAAGAATCTTGAGTGACTCTGGCTGAAAAATTAAAAACTACTAGATTTAAAAAAAAATATCTGTCAACAGCACTAGCCCAGGGGTGATTTACTGTTTGTCAGGCCTGTTCATCTCCGCGAGTTCACATCGAAAACAAAACACGCACGATGGCCACCTACAGGATACTATTCGACAAGGCCTCACATACGAGCGAACATGACTCACGCACGCGTATTCTTGTGTATGATGGAAGAAAATAAAGAAAATGGTGTACTAAATACTGTGCAGTATTTAACTGCCTAAATAATAATAAAAACACAGAATGTAATTTTTTAAGTTGCCTCAAGACACTGAGAGGGAAATAAGTAGTTAATATTATTCATGATAATTCATGCTAAATCATGTATTTCCTCCGCCATTTCCCGCAGTTTGGCACCTCACGTCACATCATTTTACCGAAGTCAGCCCTATAGCTTCGGCGCAGTGCCGATCACTGACGTTTGTCAACAAAATGGTGCTTGACTCTTGAGACAGGCTAAATTACACCATATTATTATTGTAAATGACATTGAGCATACATTTTTTTAAATACCTTCGCGAAGTAAAACTTCTGTACGTAGTACTTATTATTATTCTGTGGTCTCACCGAGAGCGAGGCGCCACAAATCTCGCAGATCTGTCGGTCGGAGGGCGGGTAGAAGGACGTTCGCGGGTGCTCCTCGCGGTGGTGCCGCAGGCACGCGTCCTGCGTCTCGAAGTGTTTGCCGCACTGCAATCAAATGAATACACTGGTCATCACAAAAATCGGCCCACCTACGTTTTACAGGAAAACTCGTTTCTACTGACACAATCATGCTCATGGTGCCCAACATAATGATTGTTCAACGGCCAAGTCACACAACATTAACTATAATAATAAATAAATCGCAGTAAGGAACCATAGACTTGGCACGACTTTGTCTAGATTTCATTACTTTTTAGAGATAAACAAGCAGCTCCATCGAGACTTGGCTAGTTTTTTACAGAATGTTTTTGGTGGGATAAATGTGACTTGAAAAAAGACCTCACTTTGGGCCTCCTCTGGGATCAATTAGACCAACTTTTATGGTTATAAAACCAAATAATGATCTAACGTGTCCTCTTTAACAGATGGATAGCGATTAATCCTAACTTAACAGTTTTATAGCCATAAAAGTTTCATAAAAGTTGGCTCCTATTTTTTTAAGAAGTGACTCTGGATTCTTCTACAGACACATTTTTGGGGTAAAAACCTTTCCTATTGAAATGAAGTTTAGGAGTAGGTTTTGAAATGGTGCCAATATTGGTGGAAAGTGGGGATGCATACGTTTGAAAGTGCTTGTCGCGGGAGGTGCGATTCATTTGATGTCAAGTGTAGTTTAATAAATGAATATCCTTGAAAGAAAAACGTATAAACATAAAGATAGCAGGAAGGCGCTGGATGCAGGTCGCTACCAACCGTGCGATGTGGAAATCATTGGGGGACGCCTATTCAGCAGTGGACGTCCTGTGGCTGAAATTATGATGATGGTGTTGATCCAGGAAAACGTATGTGAGCAGGCCTCACATCCCACTCAGTGGATCAACGATCTAATGAGGTCGGGTGCTGGACCAACGACCTCACAAAGGCGCTGGATGTAAGCCACTACCAACCGGGCAATATGGAAATCCTTGGAAGAGGCCTTTCTCTTCGAAGGATTACCAAAATGACCGGTCCTGCGCTGTCTGCATCCCGGGATTTTCACCAGATGGTCAGTTCACCTAGTAGGAGGCCTGCCAACACTACATCTTCTGGCCCGTATTCGCCACTCGAGAACTTTTCTGTCGCAATGGCCATACGAGAATCAGAAATAAGGATATCCGCAGGAAGACCATAGTAACCGATATAATCCGCAGAATTGCCAAAATTAAGTGGCAGTAGGGGCCTTAACTCGTAAAATAAAGAGGTATTAAGGTAACCATTTAATTTGATAATCTAACCTGATAACAGTCCGTAGGCTTCTTGAAAATTCTTCTCCCTTTCCTTGTATTGAGTTTGATTCGAGGTAGTGGTTGGTCTTCAGATTGTCTGTAAAATAGTTATATTTATTTTTAAAATGCAAAAAAAAATAATAATAATAAATAATAAATAAATCTTTGGACAATTTCACACAGCGCTAGCTAGCCCCAAAGTAAGCAACTTAATGCTTGTGTTATGGGTGCTAGCTTAACGGATATACTACTTATAGCCTGACCAGGAACATAAAAACCCTGGCATAGAGGCGCGACAATTGCATTTGATAGTGCAACACTGAGTACAGTCGTACCTGTGTTAAATTAATTGGCTAACTTTATGTATCAGGATTCAGGATTACGGGCTAATTTGATATTTTCATAAATTAATGAAAAAATATTATTATAGGTAACCTGGTTTAAATAAATTAAATGAAACCATCAATCGAGCTAGTAGGATTTATTTTATTAATAAATGAATAATCAAATTCAGAACTTGAATATTCAACTGCAATGTCTGCTCATGAACGCATCAAACTCGGTAGTTGTTTCCCAATTCCATAAAATTCAACACTTAGAAAGTGACAAAATTTTTTAAAATAGGTAGTTAACTACAATTGAAACAAACCATAGCTAATTTTCATAGTGGACTGTACTATACGATAAACATGTCAGTCAATTTGACAACCTTTGTCCGAAACATTATTCAATGAAAATATTGTTCGAACCCTTAGTATTTCTCTTCGACAAATACTTTAACACATTGTGAACCACTTTTCTTTCACGACTATAAAAAGATTTTAGCAATTTAATTCACAAAATCAATTGCGCACATTTAAAATAAAGTTTGTTTACACTTTGACAGCAATAGACTGACATATCAATGAAGTTTTCAGTTACTGTTGCCATTAAAAGAAATTAGTACCATTAGTTTTCCGCAACATGGCGAGGGTTTTTATGTTCCTGGTCGGGCTATATATACTTTTTTTTCTTTTTTTTTTTTTTTTTTTTTTTAGACGCTAACTAAATAGTTTCATGACGACTAAAAAGCTAATAGTCTCTAAAATTATTGGTTTCAATAACGTAGAATTTTACTTATCAATATTACCTTTTTCGTAGTTCATTCGCTATCTGTAACAAAAACATAAATGTCTTTAAAAACCGAGAAGTAAAAAACATCTCTTGCTTTCACACTATAGTGTGCGAGTGAGGTGGAACCATACATTGTACAAATCTCATTCTCTTTTATAAATTAATGTCTTTTAAAAAACATAAGTGCCACTTGTGGTCTATACTGAAAAAAAGAATGTTTTGAAGATTACAAATAGCACACATACCTTGGCTTTCGACATTTTTCCGATGACTTTTCTTAGAGCACACGACTCGTCGCGTATTTCATCCCTGAATAAAAAAACAACCATATTGACTAGCTGCTTAGACAACTGCGTACAGTAGAGGAGTCCAGCTATACCTCAGATCTTTGGATTTATTTTGAGCTAATTATATAAGTAAGTTTTATTAATGAACTAGCTGACCCGACGAACTTTGTTCCGCCTTAATGGCAATAAATAAGCAGACTTTTTTTTTATTTTGAACGGGATAAAAAGTATCCTATGTCCTTCTCCTGGCTCTAAACTACCTCCCTGACAATTTTCAGCTAAATCGGTTCAGCCGTTCTTGAGTTATAAGCGAAGTAACTAACACGACTTTCTTTTATATATATATATAGATAGATCTCGTTAGGTAATGCGTTTTGTTGAAGACATATTGAAAACTGCACATAAACCTTGATATTAAGTGATAAAGTTCAAAATTACGGCGGATTAGCAAGCTGAAGTGGCAATGGGCAGGGCACATAGTACGCAGAACTGACGGCCGATGGGGCAGCAAGGTTCTGGAATGGAGGCCGCGTACCGAAAAACGCAGCGTAGGACGTCCACCTACAAGGTGGACCGACGAAATCGTAAAGGTAGCAGGGAAGCGCTGGATGCAGGCCGCTACCAATCGATCAACGTGGAAAGCATTAGGGGAGGCCTATGTTCAGCAGTGGACGTCCTATGGCTGAAATGATGAAAGTTCAAAATCCAATGATAAATTCGACACTTTATAGCAGAACTTTATCACTGAACATCAAGGTTTAGTGGTTAATGTGCTGTTCTGATTAGTTCTGCAACAAAAACTTTATGGTATCAAAATTGGTTGAGAAAACTTTAACACGTTTTTGTTTTATGATAGGTTTCTTCTTCTTTTTTGATGATGTTGGCAATACACGTCGAGGTCGACTTGATTTGTGCCATTTTCAAGTATTTATGTGATACGAGTTACAAAATGAGATCAAGTAATGATATAATGAAGGATGAGATGATACCCCTTCCCACCCTTTGAGTCTCAGTAAAGTGGTGGTGCTTTACTGAGACCTCCTATGGACAACTTGAGAGAACCCGAAGAATCACGATGCACTGTTTTGCTTCACTTGCCCACACCCATGCACGTTCACGAACACTCAATGGTTAATAATCCACCATTATTACACATTAATAGTCGCCTAAACACGATTGTGAGGAAATAAAACAAAACCGCTAACATGACGCTTCAGATTCCCGCCAAGAAGTCCTTATGATAGGTTTATACGTTGTTATAAATGGTAAGGTGCTGTAAAATAACCTAACCTAATTAAATACATTTCCGCTATTATAACTACTTACTCCATCCCCTCAGTGTGCATAGCGGAGTGGAACAGATGTTCGGTGTAAGCCGCGCGCGTTTCGAAGCGAATATCGCACTTTTTGCAGTACGTCTGCTTTTCGTCTTCGCCGCCGCCTTCCTGTAGGGTAAATACAACTACATATTTATTTCTACAGATCTCACAGACAGACAATTTTAAAATAATTATTTACTGTCGCGTCGTTTCGTATCATGTGGTGTGTTGTGTCATAAACTAGTGTCACGGTAATACTATCATACAGTATTGTAACTCCATATAAACGAACGAAACTCGAGCTTTCCTTCGAAATTCAAATCTCGGTATGCGCTCGACATGCAAAAGTCGGGGGTGTCGCGAATGTGCCACAGTAATAGACCGACGATGTGTTGTTTTTTAAACAGTAAGCGCTCTTTTTTTTATAAAAATAATTACAAGTAGGTACCTAGTTATTTATACAGGGTGTTAAGTAAATGGGTTTATAAGCCGACACTAGCCCATGTTAATGTGTATGGTGAAGTCAGTGATATCATCATTTAATTATTTTTTATTTATAAAATCAGATTTGTATGAAAATTAAAATTATTAAAGTGATGATATTAATTTTGTGACTTCACCATACCATTTATATGCACATGTTAACACGAGCTAGTGTCGGCTTTATAACCCATTTACCTAACATCCTGTATAATAATCAAGCATTTTGTACGCCTCAGTTGAGACGCATATATTTACGGTCGTAAATTTAAAAAAAATGGTGGCCACGTTTGTCTCCAAAACCGGCCATGTTGCGACTATTCCTCTTGGGGGACAAAGAACGGTTAATGCAGATTAGTATGCTAGCATTTGTTTGCCACAGGTCGTTTCTGAACTCCGTAAAGAGAACTGCAACCGCCGCATCATCCTCCATCACGACAATGCGAGTTCTCACACCGCGCACTGAACAAAAGAGTTTTTAGAGCAAGAAAACATAGAATTATTAGTCCATCCGCCGTACAGCCCTGACCTAAGCCCTAATGATTTCTATACTTTCCCTAAAATAAAGAATAAATTGCGTGGTCAGAGATTTTCATCACCTGAAGAAGCTGTGGAAGCCTACAAAACGGCCATTTTGGAGACCCAAACTTCCGAATGCAATGGTTGCTTCAATGATTGGTTTCGTGTATGGAAAAATGTGTCAAATTTCGCGGAGAATACTTTAAAAAGCAATAAATACATTTTTAAATAGTAATGTTGTTTCACTTCCTTGATTCCCGAAATTTTCAGTGCCGCCCTCGTATCTCTAACTGCCGGAACACAACAATGCTTTTAACATTGTTGTTATGGCGACAGACTTAGGTAAGATGGTGGTAGCTAGCCAGGCGGACTTAGAACAAGCCCTACCACCAACCAAACCGAACAGAAAAATCTGCCCCCACTGGGAATCGAACCCGGGACCTCTGCGTCTGAAGCAGGTGGTCTTACCACTAGACCACAGAGGCGGTTTCGTGTCGTGCACTAGTGATGAGTCGTTTCGTGTATTAGTTTTGTGTTGTGTCGTGCACTAGTTTCGTGTCGTGTCACGTGTGTGTCGTTGTAGAGGCTTCTTCTTCTTTTTTTTTAAATATTATTAGCAATTTGTATTGCCCAAATTACTAATAGTCCCATTAGCCCCTCGTGTTAAGCTAAATAAGCTTGTGTTACGAGTGGGCTCACCACAATAGTCGAGCGGCGGTGGGATTCGAACCCGCGTTCCTCGGATCTCGAGTCGGCCACTCCGACCCCTTCTTCACCGTTAGGCTATCGTGGCTATTGTTGATGCCGATGAACTTGTGCTTATACGCCACTGTTCCGCCAATGTCACGTGCGCAGCTTTTACATAGTGTTAGTTTTAAAGGCTATCGAGGTTCTTCTACTGACCGGCTCACTGTCGAAGTGCTTCTTCTTCTTGTGCTGGTGCAGGCCGGCCGGGCTGACGAACGACGCGCCGCATAGCGTGCACTAGTGTCGTGTCGTGTAGTGTCGTGTCGTGTAGTGTCGTGTCGTGTAGTGTCGTGTCGTATCACATATACTCACAGGCTCGCTGTCGAAGTGCTTCTTCTTCTTGTGCTGGTGCAGGCCGGCCGGGCTGACGAACGACGCGCCGCATAGCGTGCACACGTGCTCGCTACGATGTGTGCGCATATGCGTGTAGTATGTTGACCTATGCCTAGAGGGAGGGGGCATACAATGATTTGTTTAAAAATTCAAAAAAATTCAAATTCAAATTATTTTATTTGCAATAAATAGGGTTTACAAAAAGGTGTTTCAAAGAGATAAATGTTGTTTTCACCTATTTAACTATGATAACACAGCATGCAAATTTGTCTTAAAACGAATTTTTATAAATTACAATAAGTTTTCAATTAGATAATACAATATTAGGGGAGAGGGGGGCATAGTGGAAGGAGTGGGCAAAGCGAAAAATTTGATTTTACCAATACTCTTTCACCCAACGGCACTCGTGCTTCACGTAAGCCAAGCACAGGGCCGACCAAGGTCATTGACCAAAATCAGTCCGGCTAGCGCCACCGAGCAGGCTACATGACTGCGCGATGTAGATCGAATGAGTTTCTTACGAAATTTAAGGATTTTGGAGACTGGATATTATTGTGAAAAGTGAGTAATGATGGTATTTTTATTATTTAAATCTAATATCCGTATATCGTAGATACCTTTGACATTTTGTAGAATAAACAAATCTTAATACTTTCTTAGTTATCAATTGAAAACTGTAATTATTATCAAAAAGGCAAAGTGGAAAAAATTACAAGGGGGCAAAGTGGAATGATTCCCACATAGAAATATTTAATTTGTTTTTTCAGATGGTTCATAATTATTACAAAAATAAAACGAACCAAGGCTCATGGACAGAAGATCAAATGAGAAGAGCGATGGAGGAAGCGAGTCTTACTACGATTAGTTCGGCATCAAAAAATATGGTATCCTAATTGAAACTCTTCATTGTCATTTGAAATCTTGTGATGCATCGAAGAAGATTGATAAGTTTCGTCCAGTATTTTTCAAAAAAACTGGAGCAAAAAATATATGATCTTGCAATAGTAAGGGACAAGGTTTTTTATGGCCTAAAACAGTTCCCAATTACTAAATAAGTAGTTTATGTTATTTCATTTAATTGACCTCATTAGCAAAATGCTCAAATACAGTAGATAAACGCTTAATAAGTGCCTTTTTCACTTTGCCCAAAGTGCAATTCCACTTTACCCTTGTGATAAGGGCAAAGCGGAAAATTATAGACTATAAGAAAACTTATTTTATGCCAAAATAGTTAATAATTCGTAAATTTTTTTTAGAGTTATCTATAATACAATACTTGTAGTATCATTTCGATTAAAACTAGTCTTCGTAACTTATCTGGTTCTTTTTATTTTTTCGATTGAAGTTAAGTACTCCACTATGCCCCCCCTTCCCCTATTAATTTAACGATTACCACTCATATATAATTGTATTCCATATTAATTATTTATCATGTCAATTTAAAATTTATTATCCTTACATAACAGTATTTTCATAGAACAAATAATGTCAAATTATATATTTATAACTAACTATAGATCGTTTCATCCACGAAGACACGCCCCACAATTTTCCACTAATGTTTGAGTGTAATCGGTACACGCTAAATCATCCATGAGTACACACGCACACTACAATAATGCCGCTCGGATTGCTCGAAGCAAACTCCCCACACCCCGCGCTCCTTCAGGTTCAGAATGTCCAATTCCCAAAATGTCCAACGGTTTCAAAATGTCCAATTCCCGGAATGTTCAATTCCCGAAATGTCCAATTCCTCAAATGTCCAATTCCCGAAACGTCCAATCTACTATTATGATGGATTTGTTGAATCATAAATATACTAATTACTAATTTTTAAGAAAGGCTATGAAGACTTATTTAACAAACCCATCATAATAGTAGATTGGACATTTTGGGAATTGGACGTTTCGGAAACTGGACATTTCAGGAATTGGACAATTTTGAGGATTGGACATTTTGGGAATTGGACATTCTGAACCTGAAGGCACGCGCTTCCGTTGACCAAAAATTGTTTAGCTTTACAAAAGATAACACACGAACTAAGTTACGAGTGAAAAAAAAACAGTCGAATTGCCGGAAAAAAAACAACTTTACTGTAAAATTATTAGTTCTACAGAATAGTTACCTGAACTCTTCGTTGCACTGTTCACATTTCTTCACGACACCGTTGTGCAGTTCTTCGTGAAGCAATGCCGTTAGTCTGTAAATAATACAATAATATTTTGTCAACGATGTATGTAATTAATTACCAGCATTTAAATAAGTACACTATACTTTCAGCTTAATCGAACCGAGATTTATATTATATTGAAAAGTTTCAGAGGAATATCAACATAGACCGCGCAGCGAAACTTGAGAGGTCGTCGGTCCACCTTCTGGGGACGTCCTACGCTGCGCTTTCCGGTACGCGGCCTCCACTCCAGAACCTTGCTGCCCCATCGGCCGTCAGTTCTACGTACTATGTGCCCTGCCCATTGCCACTTCAGCTTGCTAATCCGTCGGGCTATGAAAGCGACTTTAGTTCGTGTATGGATCTCGTCATTTCTGATTCGATGTCGTAAAGAAGTTTCTTCTTCTTCTTCTTTTATTTTGGCGACGGCTTGGTTTTGAGAACCATGATTTCGCCAATGTCACGTAAACAGCTTTGACAAAGTTACAGGGTTTTAAGAGAAAAAAAAATTTACAATATTTAATTTTTTAAAGAAGTTTCAAATAAACTCACTCGATAGGGCAGATGAGGTTGCACCGCAGACACTCGTACTTGGTATAATGAGCGCGCATATGCTTGCGCAAGCGACAGTCGATCTTGAACCGCATGCGGCAGAAGCGACACTCGAAGTTGCCGATCGCCTGTGAAAATATATTTAGAGCTAAGTACACTTCGTCGAGATGAGGCAAGGATATTTATTTTGGATCCTGTGGTTCCTTCTACAAATTTTTTAACTTGTTATGAAACCGTCCTATACAGCTATAGATCGTATCGCGCCCCACCTTTCTTCCGCTAATGTTTGAGTGTTAGCGGTACACGCTAAATCATCCATGAGTGCACACGCACACTACAATAATGATGCTCGGATTGCTCGGAGCAAACTCCCTGCACTCCGCGCTTCCCTCGACCAAAAATTAAACGATCGACGAAGAAACGATCTATATGTATGGCATTCAACCGGCTAATTTATGTCGTATGATATTGGCAAAGATCAACTTTTAACGTGCGTCTAAAAGCACGGAAATTACCTATCTATTGAAGACCGCATGATAAATTGTTTAACTTTAGTGGTCGCCATACTACTGCCTGATAGTATTTCAACTAAACACTGCATTGACGGTTGATTGCACAGCAATTTAGTCCTTACTTTAGGTAATACAATAGACTGACAACATGAAAAAATCACACTGAGCTACTCTACAAAGACTATAAAACTTGTGAATATAATAACTTACCGCATCATGCAAACGCCTGTGCCTCTTCAATATCTCCTCCTTCGAGAAACCCTTGAAACAGTCCGCACATTTGAACGGAGCTGCAATATATTTCGGATCAACTGCCTTTGCTCGGAACTGCTCTAAAGCCTCTTGCTCCGTCAAACTATACTTCTTCCAATTACCTGATTCCAACACCTTATTCTTAGCATTCCATTTGGTCTTCTTTGGACCTTTTGTACCTTTAACTTTTTCCTTTGACTCTTTCTTAGGCGGAATTTCTTTCTTCTCATCCACAAATATTGTAGTTGAGCTGCTCGGTTTGCTGCCATCTTCGAACGTTATATCCAGCTCTGTGTCACTATGCATCGGCTTCTCTTCAACGTATATTGCAGGTTCGTTATCTATCAGTGTGATATCACCAAAGTCTGACACAGAACTCTCTCGGCTCTTAACTTTACATTCCGTTGTAAAATCTTCCTCCAAATCGCTTTCGTAAAACGATTTCTTCTTACGTTTAGCTTCCCTATCTCTTAATGGCTTTTCTCTATCTTTGTCTATTAAACTTTTTCGGCTTTTCGATTTAGTTTTATGGCTTTTAACTTTTTCTTCTTCTTTGTCACTATCACCATCAAAGAAAGTACTTTTACTCTCTTCTTTATGATCTTTTATATGTTCTTCATCGTTTTCAAAGTCCGGTGTTAAGCTTTTTTTCCGCTTCACTTTACGCTTCTTAACTTCTACTATCTCGTCTCTATAACTTCTGTCGCTATCAGAGACTGTGTTGTCTTCTTTTTGTGATATGTCATCGTCTTCATCCTTAATCTCATCTATTTCTTGCTTCTCTATGGTTGAAACGGTTTTCACTCGTTTTGAGACAGTAAGAACATCGTAAGGAGACAGTAGTTTGATAGACAATCTGTCTACATTGTCTACTGCTTTGTATGTAATCTGTAAAAGGATCCAGTGTGAGAATAGGTGTAATTTATCAAGTTATAATTTCGAACACTAAACTAAGGCAGTGATTGAGGTATGGGAGCAGATTATGGAAGGGGTGACATATTGACATAATTATAACGTGACAGAGGATAAAAATCTGAAGATTTGAATATTGAGTTAAGCGCAAGAATTATAGGAGATCATGTAAATAATTTCAAAATTAAATGACGGGTAGATATTATTGATTAGATTATTTAAAAATAATTGATAGAATATCTAAGCTTATTTTCAAGGAGAAAAGTAAAAAAAAACAATGATAGACTTTTTATCAAATAATTAAATAAAGGACAATGACCAAAAGTGGTCCAAATGTCCACCACTAATGAGACCTATATTGGCTTATAGTCCATTAAATAGAGATTAACTTTCAGTATGGGACCAAAAAAAAATAAGCTGTCAGTAAAAAGTTATGACTGTTTAAAAAATTGTAGTAGTTTACGAGCTAATCTCAGGAACTACCGGTATGTTTGTGTTTGTTATGGATAGCCCATTTATCAAGGATGGTTTTAGGATAAATAACATCACCCTACAACCAATAGGGGCGGAGCAATAAAGACAAATGTTGTAAAAATGGGAAATATTATTCAAACTATTTTTACGCGTACAAAGTAGTAGGCACAGCTAGTATAATATTTAATAAAATTCATCTATAACCCCGCGCCACATGCGACATGACATAACATGCATAGATTAGTCCAAAATGTGCAATGGATACAATGATATCAAGAACATTTTTCGGATGAAAAGGTAAAAAACATGACTTTTCATTCAGTCATAACTTTTTACTGACAGCATATTTTTGATTGCGGTTTGGTTATAATGAATCAGTNTTACCCTAGACCAGTGTTTCCCAATTAGTGGTACGCGTACCCCCAGGGGTACGTGAAGTTGCATCAAGGGGTACGCGCGGCTATCAGTAAAACAACAATTTCCAAATTATTAATTTATAACGATCATCATCGTAAAAGCACGGAGCACCGAGCACTATGAATGAATGACCGAGCGCTATCCCGCGCCTCCCGCATCTGGTGTCATTCGGCCACCCGCGCCCCCGCCACCCGTTCCCGCTTCCCGCCCGTCCGCCAGTTCGGCTTTTGTCGTGAGCCATGTAACAGTGTTTTGTTTTGATTGTCAATTAAGAAGTACTAAGCGTCGCGTTATCTCGGCCTGATATACCTTGGAAAACGGTAAGATATTGTTTTAAGACTACTTTTAAACTTACACTTTCATTATAAATTGCATCTATAAAAAAGGCGGACGGAACTTGCGCTACAACAAAAATGTGTCGCAAAATAGCGGCGTCTGTTTATTGTGTGAGTGAATTTAGGGATGTCATGTTAGCCAAAACATTTTACCCATTTATTTTAAGAAAAATAAAGATCGACAGTTTTTTGTTGATGAGAATCCATCCGACTTTTTTTATAGGTCCATGACAATACAACTTAACGATGTTTAGTTTGTTTTTTTAATGATTTAAACTTCGAATAGTTAATAAATAATAATATATGAGTTGAGTTGCTTCAGTTTTACGTGTTCACGGTTACTGTTTTGTAAGACAATTTATTAAGTCCAGTTGTATTTCAGATGGAAAAGTGGCTGATAAGTCGTCAAAAGGTTGCTGAAGCGTCAGGCAATACTGAACAGTCACCCGATCATGATGTGTCCTCCTCTACCAGTACTCCGACACAAGAAAAAAGAAAACTTGAAAACAAGGAATCGTCTCTGAAAAAAAGGAAATATGATGGTAGTTATATTCAGTTTGGTTTTACAAACTCAGGAGACCCTGATTCTCCATTACCACAGTGTGTCGTTTGTGCAGAAACGCTGTCAAATCATTCGCTAAAGCCGTCTTTACTACGTCGCCATTTAGAAACTAAACATGCTAATTTGAAAGACCAGTCGGTATCCTTCTTTCAACATAAATTAAAAGATCTCAAACAAAGACAAAAGTCTATTGAGGCGCTTTCCCAAAACACGAATGAAAACGCTCTACAAGCCTCTTTTAGAGTGAGTTATTTAATTGCTAAGCAAGCGAAACCTCACACTATTGGGGAGAACCTTATATTGCCTGCAGCAAAAGAGATAGTGAAATGTATGTTTGGAGAAAAAATGGCACGTGAACTTGATGTTATTCCTATGTCAAATAACACTGTCTCTCGTCGTATTGCAAACATGTCAGAGAATCTGAAAACTAACCAAATAAAACGGATTTTAGAAAGCGATTACTTTGCCATACAACTTGATGAATCCACAGACATAACAAACTTGGCTCAACTTTTAACGTACGTTCGTTATGTGCATTCCAAAAAGTTTCATGAAGAATTCCTGTTTTGTCGTGCCCTTACGGTTCGCACTACCGGGGAGGATATATTTAATATGGTCGACGGTTTTCTGAAAGAAAACCAATTGGATTGGTCAAAATGTGTAGGAATATGTACTGATGGTGCCAGAGCAATGACTGGTCGTTTTTCAGGACTTGTAAAGCGGATACAAGATGTAGCCCCAGAAGCAAAATGGACGCATTGTGGAATTCATCGAGAGGCACTGGCTTGTAAAAAAATTCCAGCCAGCTTAGATATTACTCTTAAAAATGCTGTAAAAATTGTCAACTTAATCAAGGCCCGTGCCACAAACTCTAGAATTTTCGCAGCTATTTGCAAAGAGCTTGGCAGTGAACACGAGACTCTGTTGTTACATACTGAAGTGCGTTGGCTGTCCAGAGGAAGAGTTGTTTCGAGAATGTTTGAGCTGAGACATGAAATTGAGTTATTTTTGGTCGAACAGCGACACGATGAGTACAAACAGATGCTGATTGACCCTGTGTGGCTGCAAAAATTGGCTTACTTGTCAGATATCTTTACAAAATTAAATGAGTTGAATTTGGGACTACAAGGCCGTGATACAACCATATTCACTATGCAGGAGAAAGTTGAGTCCACAATAAAAAAAATATCCCTCTGGACATCTTTAATTGACAAGTGTAAATATGACCAGTTTCCGAATCTTAAACTTTTTTTGGATACAACTTCTTCGACAGTAAATGAAGATTTAAAATCAGACATAAAATGCCACTTGCAAAATCTGTCGACGGCTTTACGCAGTTACTTCCCAGAAATATCGCCGCAATGGAACTGGATAAACAATCCTTTTGTGAACCATTCCGTCGACCACCTACCCATCTCTGATCAAGAGGAATTAATAGACATCTCATGCAACAACAGACTCAAGAGTTGTTTTGCAGAGCAATCACTGGGTGACTTTTGGGCTAATTTAAAAGATATTTATCATATCAGTGAATCAGCAATAAAATATTTACTGCCATTTTGCACGACTTACCTTTGTGAAAGCGGATTTTCGGCCATGACGAACTTAAAAACTAAACATCGTCACAGACTTCATCTTGAACATGATTTAAGACTGAAACTGACTGAAGTACAGCCAGATTTTCAAGAGCTGTGCAAAGAAAAACGTGCACATTTGTCACATTAGCGTCTTCACCGATACATCATTCCAATTTTCACTATTGTACTGTGTAATAAATGTTAAACTTGAAGATAATAAATGTTATTTAAACTGACTTTATTTTTTTTATTTATCGTTGCTACAATAAGGGGTACGCAGGTTTGAGGCCTTTTTCGAAGTGGTACGCAGTAAAAACTAATTGGGAACCACTGCCCTAGACTGTAAATTACAATGGGGCCCCCATATTGCTGCCTTGGCGGGAAGACTTAGTTCAGCTGCCTTTGCGGTGAGAAAGATCAGAAACTTGACTGATGTTGAAACAGCAAGGCTTGTATATTTTAGTTATTTTCATAGTATTATGTCTTATGGTCTTTTACTGTGGGGCTCAGCAGCAGACATAGAATCAATTTTCATTTTACAGAAAAGAGCTGTTCGGGCAATATACGGTCTTAAACCACGTGACTCACTTAGAGAAGTTTTTAAAGAAATCAATATATTGACTGTGGCTTCGCAATACATATTTGATAACATTATGTATGTCCGTAAACATATACATTTATTTACTAAGAAAAGTGACGTCCACTCATTTAACACGAGACATAAGAATAAACTTGCTGTTCCATCATTTAGGTTGCATAAGATAGGTAATTCATTCTTGGGGAAATGTATTACCATATTTAACAAAATACCACACAACCTTGTCGAATTGCCAATAAACAAATTTAAGATACATATAAAAAANCCATACATTTTTGGTCATTGTCCTTTCTTAAAATGAATATTTTGATGACCTGATGGCTTAATTTCAATAAATCTAAGACTATAAGATCTTGATATTCTATGCATTTCTTACCTGGCCTTTCCACAGCATTTTCTTCAAAGCGATCAGCCCCCTGAAGCACTTTTCTTTAAACTCATGAAACTTCTGAAGCAGTGATGCACATTCATAGCAGAAGTATTGTGGTAGCCCATCTTTTTCATTCACCTAAACGATAAAAAAATTTAACAGTTTATTATTTGTTTCCTTTTAATTATTTGATATTATTTTGTTTGTTGTGAACTTTAAATAAATGGCTAAAATACAGTTACTTTTTAATTTTTACAACTTTTTTTTACTATTTCTTTGGATGGATATTATTCAAAATTTAATTTAAACTAGATATTAAAAACAGCTACATGATAGAAAATGTTATGAAAATAAATAACACTGTAATAGCGAAGCCCAAATTACATAAACAGAAAAGAAATGCTATGTAATTTATGTTTTTGATGACCAACATTGACTATTGTATAGTACCTAGATCTAAACATTTGAGTAGGCTTATAAACTTAAGTATTCTAAATTGATAAATAATAAACTAACGATCTGTGCATCAATGTAAATAGAATAATCACTAGAAATACTTACTTTGAGAGACATAACTTGTTCATAAAAATATAGCAACTGGAATCGATCGAACTTGTACATCTTGGCACCGGTCCGCAGGCATATCCTACATATCTTAAGCGTAGACATTTTAATTATAATTTAATTAAGCTACCTTACAAGCTAAGTTCAATTTAAATAATCATTATTTTACACGAAAATCATAGCGAGAAATCGGGATAGATTGTCAATTTTACACAAACTGACAGCTTTTGGCTAGCTTGATGCTATGGCATTGGCATAGAACTTTGAAGTCTTTGATTGGTAGAAAAGCTGTCATGTAAAATGAACGGCCACCTGTGATTGGTGCGTTGTGTGAGAAGCTTGGTACTTTTACGTTTCGTTACGCACAATGGGTGTTGTTACACATTAAATTATTAATTTTTCATCTAAAAAAAAAAGATGGATTAAAAAAGAGGGAATCTAAAATTTAAGATGAGGGTGGACCAAAGGCATTTCAGTTGTAATTTCTGTTCTTTTGTACTACTTGTAGCTAGGAGCATCGCCGAGGGACTTTTCGAAAAGTCCGATTAAATAGATTTTCAAATAGCACCAATCGGAAATCGAATCTAGTAAATAAAAGCATTTTGTTTGTAATGTAATACATATCGCTCGCAAGAGTATTTTTCTAGAAAACTAAATGCTTAGTGATAGCCTACTGGCAAGAAGGAATGAAATAAATAAAACACATTAATACGTATTTATAAATGTATCTTTATTTATCAATATAAGTTAACGTTACCTAGTATTATCATGGGCAAAGCATTACAGGTATTACACAATATAGACGACTTAAATAAGTATTTTCTACAGCACACCCATGTCAAATTCACTGCAGATGTAGAATTTATTTTACTAAAATGTAATATAAAAAATTAAAATAAAATAAATAAATGGCCCATCACTTAACACGAAAACTTGTAAATTATCTTTTACTCAACGGATTTTCGAATATTGTGACATTGCTAGGACCTATAAAAAAAGGCATGTTTAAACCTTGTCCATGATTTTACTACAAATGCCCATACATACACCAAGCCGTACACTATTTAATGATCTAAACTTAATAACTTCAGTATACTTAACATATTAATAAATTTTCCTAGCTCATTTAAGTCTATAAAGCTACATTTAAATATTACACTTATTTTGTAAGTGATTTTTCGTCGCAATGAGTATATTTTTCTTACACAATAATTTAGCATGACATTGTAGGCTTTACTAATGTTACGTGTATAGTAAAAAAAACGATTTTTAAAGAAATAATAATGAACATATTTTAGGAAGAGTCAGCATCAAATAGTTTGTGACACCCAAAGTAGCCAAAAAGTTCGCAAAAAGTCTTTGTTACATTTAAAAAAAGGTTGTATTGTCAACCTTTTGGCGTCACGAACTATTTGACGCTGACTGTACATTAAAAGATATAAATATAAATATGTAGTAAAAGGTATAATATTTCTCTAATATAATATGTATTTTGGTTCACAAATGTGCAGCACAAATCACACTTCAGAATATTTTCCGCTTACGCAAAAAATCGATGTTACCAGCAGATTATCTAATTGCAAGCAAAATGCTTTATGAATAACAACAAACATCGAATAAGAAACAAAAACACATCTAAAGCCCGGTCTGTGAGCACGTAGAATTTTGTCCAATGACCCCAAGCTACCCATCCTTACTAACTGTGCGACGGCCGCCCTCAGTGAGTGTGCGAGCGCGACAGCAACATAATTACGCGCGAGCGATAAGGATGGGTAGCTTGGGGTCATTGGACAAAATTCTACGTGCTCACAGACCAGACTAACGCTTAACTCTGTCAGTCTGAGGTATAGAAGCGGCACGGGAGGGGTGACATTGACATATGACGTGACAGAGCATATAAATCTACCCCCCTAGACAAAACGCACTTTTTGATCGAATCGAAAATCGAATCCGTCAAAACTCCATACAAAAAAGGGGCTTTTCGACCACTTTTCGACTGGTTTGCGATTATAATTTGCACTTTGTCTAGACCCACTGAGGGCCTAGTGCGAGTTTACATCAAACGCGCTCACTAGTGAGCGCGTCAAAAAACGACATTAAATGTATGACGGATTGTACAGCGCGCCTAGCGGGTAACGTTCAAAAACTAAAATTTTCATACATTTTTTATGCTGCGTTTACACTGCGCGGAAATTAGCCAAGTCAAGTAAAAAAAACAGTGGAGTGGGGATGAATTATGAATGAATTTCATCTCCACTCCTCTGTTTTTTTGACTTGACTCGGCTAATTTCAGCATAGTGTAAAAGCAGCATTAAACGCGCTCACTACTGAGCGATGTAAACACACTCAGCCCACTGAAGATCTGTAGTCTCGCTTACGTTTGACGTCACAAAAATACCTTCTCGTGCCGCTCCCATGCCTCAGGCAAGGACTGAGCAGAGTAAATACAAATGAGTAGGTCATCAATCATCATCAACAGCCCTTTACAGTCCAGTGCTGAACTATGAGCCTCCTCCACTATAGTGGAGGGTTTTGCCATAATCTCCACGCTTGGCAGGCGGGTTGGAGAGCGCAGTTTAAAAGATTGATGTTTTTCAGAGAGCGCTGCTGCCCATTCTCTGTTTGATGTGTAGTCCCTAAGTCGCCTCTTACGACACCCGCGGGAAGAGTAGGGGTTGGTGACAAATGTATTCTACTCTGCCGTCACCACACGGCTTGAGTAGGTCATCTTCATAGAAACGCCCGAGCGCGGTTTGTATGTGAGCGCGCCAATACGTATGCGGCGCGCACGCACACACTGACAAAATTTAGCGTGGATTAGCGGTGAGGTGCGATAGATGAAGATGACCTACTCATTTGTATTTACTCTGGACTGACTCTATAGTAGTACAACACGGCCATTTTAATACAGACATTTCTTTTAAATTCACACATTCTTACCGAAGTTACATCAAAGTAGCACAAATCATTATTCTAAAGCGCTCTCAAGAACACAACAAAAAACTTTATATCTAGAAAATTCCAAAGTATATAAATGTTCATTCATCCTACATAAGGATAGAAGATAGCATTTAAAACTATACCATTAAGATCTAATTTTGATGAAATAAAACATATTTTACACAGATCAATAAAACTTTAGATGTAAAATTTAATTATTATCTTAATTTTATTTACCAATATCAAAATACTAAAAAACAGAAGTGGCATATACCCTCGGTTTCTTTTACGAAATATTATATTAGTATTAGCATAAAGAAGTAGTTAAATGAAAAACTTGTATAAATATTTACAATATGTAAAACTCACACTTATATTAATACTATATCTATTGACATTGCTACGGGGCGTGAGCGGGACGTATGTTCGCTCTCACAGAGAGTCAATCGCATAACAAGTCCCCACAAACGTGATACATTCAGCGTCAAATAGTTCGTGACACCCAAAATAGCCAAAAAGTTCGCAACACGTCTTTGTAACAATTGGAATAAGGTAGACTTATGCCCGTTTTCACCATCAATCCCTGATTTTTAAGTGACCTCTATGGTAATATATAACAGGAATATTGTCTACGTAGGGGTCACTTAAAAATTAAGGATTGATGGTGAAAACGGGCATTAAGTGTTGTCAACTTTTTTGAACACTCTGGGTGTCGCGAACTATTTGACATGACTGTACAGTGACCTTTAACAGTTTTATCTATGAGATCAACATAAAAATCTCGTCAACCAATCACAACACAGTTATATATTCTGCTTTGAAAATAAAATTGAAATAAATAAGAATAAGAATCCGAGGGTTGAAATTGGAAGAATCAAGATTATACAATAGTATATTAAAAAGCTATCGAAGTTACAGTCGGCACCACAAGAAGAAAGGAATAAGTTAATAATTTATTTGAATTTGTGACGCACAGGTTAGTTTTTATGAAACCGGCGAACGACCCGCGTAAGGCCCGTTTCATACAAACGCCCCGCACTCACCGCGTGGTACTGTAAACGTACCTTTATTACTGTTAAAAAAACCAATTAAATATTAATTTAATACTTATTTTAGTCACAACGCAATATACCTACATGCAACGCGTTTCTATTAAAAAAATAAAGAGACATAATTGTAACTCATAACTCACTCACTCATAATTATTGAGTGTGACTCAATGAGGGCTATCGTTTTAGCGCTCACCAGTTAGCGCCACTGTAGAGTAAGGTCCTGTCACTTGCTAGTAGCGAAGACAGTGGCACCAACTGGTGAGCGCGAAAGTGGTAGGAGGACTATAGCATTTGCACTCATCAAGATGGCGCCACTGTAGAGTAAGGTCCTGTCACTTGCTAGTAGCGAAGACAGTGGCGCCAACTGGTGAGCGCGAAAGTGGTAGGAGGACTATCGCATTTGCACTCATCAAGATGGCGCCACTGTAGAGTAAGGTCCTGTCAATCGCCAGGGGTGCCAACTGTTAAGTATAAAAACGATAGCCCTCATTGATATTCGGTATTAATGTTAGTCATTAAATGTAAAAGTTAGTGGCCACTACGTTACCAATTTAAGTATAAATAAGATAAAAAACTCGATTTAAGCTTGCATTTTAAAATTAGAATACACATTTCTCTCTTTTCATTCATCACCGACAGAAAGAGAGGTACATATAACAATTCGCCCCGCGTAAAAATATCTACATACTAGTTTGTTCGTAATTATAATTATTATTTAACTTTTCCAACATCGTGGTGGAGACTGTAACTACATAAATATTATCTAATAAATTATTTAATCGTATTGTTTTTACGATAAAAACTATTCTCCTACGGTTTGAGTTTGCTATTGTAATGTCCCGATTGGTTTTTGTCTATGACATTATTTAATGTCAGATTATGACAGTTAAAACAATGTTTATGACCTACACTGAAATGTCCCACTAAACTCAATGACAGGGGGGCGCTACCATCGTTCAACTATATGGTTTCCAACAAGGCAAAAATCGGAACCAGCGATCCGGTATTGACGGTTGTATTGGGTCTAAAGTCTGTTCGCCGAGAGTTGATAAATAATTTGAAATGTCTTGCAATAGCGACTGTCGCTTAATTATCGCATTCTGTATGGCGGGCGTCGTTTGTCACAACGCGCACTGAGTACCATGGTACGAGCCACGCAGCTGTCGTCAAGCGCCCCGGCCGGCGGGCGGCGGCGGCCACAGCGTGACCACTTTTAGTAGATTTCTACTTTTTTGGTAGATTTGAGGCAAAGAGAACGATGATTTAGTAGTGCGAAATCGTTTAGTAGATTTTGGTAGATAATTGGTGTTTTTAGAAAATTCTTATAAATGGTAGTCCAAAATTAAATTGTAACCGAGCCGAGAATCCAGGCCAAAAAAAAAGGCCAGGCCAAATAATCTACCAACTTTTTCATTATATCGACAAAAATAATTAGCGGGCCGCAATTTATAATGAGTTTAGAACCTCTGATATTTAATTTTTTTTATCAACTCTCGGCGAACAGACTTTATAAATCATTGCAATCTTGCATTGTAAGTATAAAAACTCTTACATTTTTCTAGTAATTTCGAATGGCATTTTAGTAAATTGAAGGCAAAGCAGCTAAATACTGTTACTTCGTTCGAAGTGGGTGCCATCGAATCTTGACTCGCACCCTCATTTTATTTTGAACTTTATTCCTTTACTGCAAGATTCAAAATCAATTGAGGTAATCTTTCATTAATTAGGTCGTAGAATCATGACGTACATATGTATGAGTACTACAATGTATTTCGAACTCTATTCCCTTATTGCACGGTTCAAAATCTATTTCTTTCATTGTCGATTGATTACTGACAGTACATTTGTACCTAGCGACGATGTCTAGAATTCTAGATACCTCCTTGCATACCAGATGCTTGTGAGCGGTGATCTATCACTTGTGTTTTAAGTGATGCCTACTTAGGAGGCACCCATGGGTACATACTGGGCACGTACTTGGGCCCGAAGGCTTTGGAGCAAGCCGCCGACATAGCCATGGCGTCGTCGTCGTCTTTCTCGGTGGTCTTTCTGTTTCTGTAACGATACAAAAGTAGTATTAAAATTGGTCTATTCGTTTAGGTCACCCAAAGAGCGATGGAGCGTGCTATGCTCGGAGTTTCCCTGCGTGATCGAATCAGAAATGAGGAGATCCGTAGGAGAACCAGAGTGACTGACATAGCCCGCAGAATCGCTAAAATCAAGTGGCAGTGGGCGGGGCACATAGCTCGAAGAGATGATGGCCGCTGGGGCAGAAAAGTTCTTGAGTGGCGACCACGAGCTGGAAGACGTAGCGTGGGCAGGCCTCCCACTAGGTGGACCGACGATCTGGTGAAGGTCGCGGGAAGTACCTGGATGCAAGCGGCGCAGGACCGGTCTTTGTGGAAATCCTTGGGGGAGGCCTTTGTCCAGCAGTGGACGTCTTTCGGCTGAAACGAACGAACGAACGATTCGTTTAGGAGCTACCCCTTTGTTTGGTCTGGGGCTTTAAAACACTCCGATAGCAAAGTCAGGCGGCTATCTAAATGTAATTTAACTACTCGAGTAGTTGATCTTGATATTTCGAAAAATCTAATTTTAGATTGTCTGTCAATCGAATTTGCGACCTTTAGGCCTAAGATGCTTGACAAAAGAAATTTTTATCGAATATACACGATAAGCCCATACTTTTGTCGTCTAAAATCGTCGGTAAAATTTTATCATGGCGTATCCAGACCATCTGATTACGTCACAGACCCTATCCGTCGCGTCTTAACAGCTCATATAAAGTATGTCAATTGACTACGGTATCCGGTATTCTACCCTGGAAATAAATACTAAGAAAATAAAACTTCAAGAAGAAGATTACCAATGACTAGGCAGCATGGTCTTTTCCCTTAACCTGTTCCAGAAGGAACGAATTGAACAAAAAATGTATCCAATATTACCTCTTGGGGTAGGGTTGCTTGAGATGGAAAGTCCTGACGTGAAGGCTGAGGCTTCCGTTCTGCGTGAACCGTTTCCCGCACAGACTGCACACGTACTTTCGCTCGCCTGTGTGCGTCTGTAAATAAATAATAATATACGACTGTAAATAACAAAAATTAATGAAGAAGTTCAGAAATGTGGGTACATGAAACTACAATCAGCAGTATTTTTGTCAAAGAATGAGGTCACTTAACACTTAAAACTGGTGTACAGTACAAGTTAAGAATTACTTCCCAAATGACACTACTTGGTGGAAATCAAATAATTTATGTAGCATAAAATAAGCTAACTTTCATCATGTTATTGTTGTCTTGTTAATATTTTTCTTCTTTTGTTTTGACCCCAAAATGGGGTGGAGGAGGGTTAATAACCTGAGATACAGGATTTTCCTAATACAGGTATTAGCCCGCCATAGTCCTACTGAGAGACCAACTATATTGTGTACGTGTACGTACCAAACTTATTCACATACATTCCCTATAGGCGTAGCCGTAGTGTCAATGTAAAACGAGTAAAAACTATGACGTCTACAGGCGTTCTGTCGTATCATTCTTTACTACCTGAACGCTAGTAGACGATACTGTCCAACAAAGTGATAAATATCTTCTACAGTGCGTTGTAATTCGTAGCGTCAGACCGAATGCCCATAGGTGCCAGCTTCGTCAGATCAACTGCCGCCTATACAGGGTGGAAACGATAAGTGATCTCACTCGATTATTTCTAAACTATACAAGATATCAAAAAACCGGTTACTGATCCAGAAAGTGCTTCACGAGCTCTTTCAAACGGTATCAGTAATAGGTTACAGATTTTACTGGATCTATCCGAAAATTCAATTTTTTCAGCCTCCATACTAAATGTATGCCAGCCACACAATATTGACGAAGTGTTAATTTTTTTATTAAATAATAATACTCTTAAAATGAACTCTTAAATTGCATTCTTATTTAAAATTATTAATGGAAAACATTGGTTTTAGGCTTTACTTGCTATGATATTATCAAGATGTGAGTGCCATGACTGCAGTTGTACTAAATGTATGGGAGCTGGGTACATTGAATTTTCGGATAGATATATTTTCTTTTGTAATCTTTTATTGGTACTTTTGGATAGAGCTCGTGAAGGACTTTCAGGATCAGTAACTAGTTTTTGGATATCTTGTATAGCTTAGAAATAATCGAGTGAGATCACTTATCGTTTCCACCCTGTAGAATGGAAGAAGCCTGGCCATAAGCAAAATAAGAATTAGAAGGTCACGTACTATCGGCAACAGTGTTAACTACCCATTGCCGATCATGTCGTCTCGTTCTATCGCAAAGAATCACCATTTGATGAGAGCTAGAGCAAAAACGGAAATGGATAATTATGTTATGATATTATGTGTGCATGTTGACTTACCACCATGTGTTGTTTGAGCACGGTGCTGGTAGTGAAAGAACGGCCGCAAGTGTCGCACGTATACATCTTGCTAAGGGTATGTTTGTTCATATGAGCCGCTACACTGCCCACCTGTGAACAGAGAAGCGAAATCAATTAATAACCATGTGCGAGGCGGAAAAGACCTCGTATAATACGAGTTTTATCGTTACTATGTATTTGTTGTGGTGAGTGAGTCACCGCGAGTGAGGCGTAACAGACCTCGTACACGGAGTGCTTTGTTAATCGAGGTGGCTCACCACGATCGAGGCGCCGCAGACCTCGTCCACTACGTCCTTTACAGTTAAGGTGACTCGCCGTAAGCGAGGCGGAAAAGACCTCGTACTACCTGCTTCGTTAGTTATGTGACAATATAACTTACCGCGAGCGAGGCGCCGCAGACCTCGCACACGACGCGTTCTGCGTAGAAGGGCCGGCCGCGGTGGTTGGCTAGATGGTGGCGCAGCGCCGCCGACAGCGATACAAATGCTTGCCCACACTGTAAGCAAACACAACAAATAATCCTACTAATATTATAAAGGCGAAAGTTTGGATGTCTCGATGTTTGTTACTCTTTCACGCAAAAACTACTGAACGGATTTTCAACCGACTTCAAAAAAAAGGAGGAGGTTCTCAATTCGACCCGTATGTTTTTTTTTCTATGTTTGTTACGCGATAACTCCGCCAATTATGAACCGATTTGAACCAATCTTTTTTCGGCGTATAGGTAATACCTCAAGGGTGGTCCCATTTAAATTTAATAATAGAAAAAACAACCCCCAAGGGTGGAAAATCGGGGATGAACTTTTTTATACGCAATATCTCCGCCGATTATAAATCAATTTGACTGATTATTTTTTTGTTGAATAGGTATTATCAAAAGGATGGTTTCATGCGAATTTGAAGAAAATATTTCACCCCCAAGGGTGGAAAATTGGGGATGAACTTTTTTATACGCAATATTTTTAATTTTTAGTTTTTTTTTTGTGTTCACGCATTTGAAGTCGGTTTTATTTTTTTTTAAAGTTAATTATGTTGAAACTTTACAGTATTATTATGGTTTATAACCCAAATTATGGCGATATGTGACAAATAAATTTCAATAAATAAATAAGACGCGTCTAATAAAGCGCCATCTATCGTCATTTGTTAAAATCACATTACAGCGCTGGACAAAGTACTGTTTTTGACGTTCGTAAATATTCATGCGGGGGAAGCCGCGGCTATTCGTGCGGCTAGTTAATAATAATTAATAAAATACACGGTTCATGTCTTAAATATAACAAAGGGTAAATGTCTAAAAATAAAGGATATTCGAAATCGAAACTATTAACCAATGATTTCAAGACAACTTCTCTACAGCAACACGAAAAAAGTAGCTCGGCAAGCTTAAAACTCATAAAGCTACCATAAAACTCATTTATTTTTGCAAATAGGCTTTTAAAAAGAACTTTTTCACGTTCCACTATTAAGTTTAGTTACGTTATTGTTGCCTTTGATGTAACAACATGTAGCGTCTCATTGTATGGGCCAGTGGTTCTTAACCGATGGTCCGCGGACCACTGGTGATCCCTGGAGGCATTCCAAGTGGTCCACGAAGACATCGTAATAAACAAGTGACGTGACGTGATAAGTCGAGTCAACACAATGCAAACGGCGCACAGTGGGCGAGAAATCGACCTCCCCTTTTATAGGATTTTGAAAAAAAAAAAAAAGTGCCCCTGACAAGACAGAAATTTGGTAAAACGGTCCCTCGTGACTTAAAGGTTAAGAACCACGTATGGGCGAATCGTCCCGCGCAATTCTATACGAGGTTTAAAATTAGTAGCGCTGAAAATCAATTCAGCCCTCTGGACTTCAGTTTCAGTTCTTATTTCAGAATCGCTTCAGGCATCGAAAGTAACTACATACAAAACACGCCTATGCCTACACTTTGGAACCTAATATCTGAAATAAATAATTAACTTTAAAAAAAAAAAAACCGACTTCAAATGCGTGAACACAAAAAAAAAACTAAAAATTAAAAATATTGCGTATAAAAAAGTTCATCCCCAATTTTCCACCCTTGGGGATGAAATATTTTCTTCAAATTCACATGAAACCACCCTTTTGATAATACCTATTCAACAAAAAAATAATCGTTCAAATTGATTTATAATCGGCGGAGATATTGCGTATAAAAAAGTTCATCCCCAATTTTCCACCCTTGTGGATTGTTTTTTCTATTATTAAATTTAAATGGGACCACCCTTGAGGTATTACCTATACGCAGAAAAAAGATTTGTTCAAATCGGTTCATAATTGGCGGAGTTACCGCGTAACAAACATAGAAAAAAAAACATACGGGTCGAATTGAGAACCTCCTCCTTTTTTGAAGTCGGTTGATTATTATTTAAATAAATAAAAATAGTATAATGATTGTAATATTATGTACTCACATGCTGGCAGGTAGTCGGTTTCTTCGCTGTCTTCCGCGAGTCGCGACTCTTGCCGCTCTTTCTGACTTTGCATAATTCCTTCTCCACCATCGATTTCCTATGGAATTTTAAATAGATTTAGTATTTTGGATAAGTACATTATTTCTAGATTGGCATGGAATCGCACAAGATTAAAGCAAATGGCAACATCTCTTATTACTTTTCTGATCTCTTAGGCTGAGTTGCAGCATCTTACTTCAACTTTAATAAAAAGGTAAAAAATCTGTCAAACTCCATACAAACACAGGCTATTGTTACAGTTACGGTTAAAGTAAGTTGATGCAACTCAGCCTTAGCAATTGAAGTAAGTTATTATAATTAATACTGTTTAATTCACTTACCGGTTCACCAGACCACCAACAGGCTGAAATAAAATAATAATTTTACATAAATAATTAAGCTATTTCCTTTAAAGTTTGTTACAACAGACGCGCCCTATCATTTTTTGGTCTCGGTCGCGCGGGGTGTGAGGAGTTTGATCCGAGCAATCCGTAAGGCATTATTGTAGTGCACTCATGGATAATTAGCGTGTACCGATAACACTCAAACATTTGCGGAAGAATGCATAATTTCGCGAATGAAAAATCCGCCAGATGGCAATACGTAGACGCGAGGTCCAAATGCTGCATGTTTGGTTATTTTTGACATGACATTGACAGATATGTCAAAATCCACTAATCACGCAGCAGTCAGACCCCACATCCACGTCCCGCCATCTAGCGGATCTTTCATTCGCGAATATCCTCATTAGGACGAATAGTGGGGCGCGTCTTCGTGGATAGCAAGATCCATAAATTCCCTGTTGTAATAAGAAACTCTATCGAAAAGGGGTCATAGCTTATAAAAGTATGTACTTACAGCATCATTTTTGTCGGGCAACCTCCCCTCTCTTCTCTCTTCTTCTTCCAACATCTCATGGATTAGATATTCGCCCAGCAACTTGTTCCTGAAGATTGAAATTAAAACGAAATTAGTAAGTATTGTTTTTGCTCGGTGTTTCTTTACTAGATCAAATCAGTACCTCTAGCATGAACAACTTTCGTCTTCAAATCGTTTGCGTATTCGACAAAATTCGATACTCAACCTTCAAATTAAAAGATAACGTGACAATTTTGATTCTCGAAATAAGTTTCGTGCAACCGTTTCTCATACTAAGTTCACTTTACGACACGTCCACAAGGGCGCTGTTGTAGTTTTCGTACTAAATATTTTGATGGCGATTCGAATACGCAAACGATTCGAACTCGTAAGTTTTTCGTGCTAGCCGTACAGAAATGAGGAGATCCGTAAACGATTAAAGTCACTGACATAGCCTGACGGATTAGCAAGCTGAAGTGGCAATGGGCAGGGCACATAGTACGCAGAACTGACGGCCGATGGGCAGCAAGGTTCTGGAGTGGAGGCCGCGTACCGGAAAACGCAGCGTGGTGGTTTTAAACCACCACTTTACAGTATTCAACGAGTGAACAAGTGAAGTGCACACAAAGCGCACAAGGTGGACCGACGACCTGATAAAGGTAGCAGGAAGGCGCTGGATGGAGCCGTCACCAACCGGCAGGGTGGATAAATTCACGATTTTTTTATTTTAAACAAAAAAATCAGATTTTTTTAAAAAAATCACGATTTTTTGATAATAATATAATTATGTGCTTATCTGAAAAATCGCAAATGTGATTGTATGGAAAAATTAAATTTTTCAGATTCTCCATACAAAACGACAATTTCATACATACATTTGTTAATGTATGAAATTGTCGTTTTGTATGGAGAATCTGAAAAATGTAATGTTCGAAAACAATGTTAATATTAGGAACACCTAATATTAACATTGTTTTCGAACATTACAGTTGATTAATATTAACTCACAGCCTTTCATTAATTCCATTTTCGGTCATTGATTTAAATCAATTATTTTTATTAAAAAAATCATGTAATAAAAATCGTGATAAAAACCCTGCCAACCGGCCATTGTGGAAGTCATTGGGGGAGGCCTATGTTCAGCAGTGGACGTCCTGTGGCTGAAATGATGATGATGATGAATACTTACTCTTCCGTGTGCATGGCCGAATGGGCCAGATGGTTTTGGTACGCGTCCTTAGTTTCGAAGTTCATCTTGCACACCTCGCAGTATATCGTGTCTTCTACGTTCACGACTGCTTTGTCCTGCAATGTAGGATAACATTATTGAGGTATTTTTATAAGGTTGTGATTAATCGAGACTTGACAGAGAGAAATAACTCTTACAAAATCATAAGTAGACTTTTTTATTTGTAAAAGACAATGCCGGAAATTGGCGTCTTTTTTTTTCGCGCGGCCATCGACCAAACCTTGTTTTTTGATTACAAAATAGTGTAATAAACCAAACTTAGTATGACATGTATACCTCTAAACTCAGTCTGAACTGAGTTACGAGCATCAGAAGTTTGATGATTTTCATACTAGATTTGCTGTTTGGGCGCAAGTTTTGTAAGAAATTGCAACAAAATAATTACATTTTATGTGTAAACAAACAATACCATCCATTAAAGGCTCCAGACATCAGTATGCAGCAGAATCAGCGCAATAAAAAAATAGCGCAATATTTTGTTGCAATTTCTTACAAAACTTGCGCGCAAAAAGCAAATCTAGTATGAAAATAATTAAACTTGTAATGCTCGTAACTCAGTTCAGACTGAGTTTAGAGGTAAACATGCCATAGTAAGTTTGGTTTAAAACACTATTTTGAAATCAAAAAACAAAGTTTGGTCGATGGCCGCGCGAAAAAAAAAAGACGCCACCTTCCATACAAAATCTGGCATTGCCATTTGGGTATTTAAAACGCTTTATCCTCTGTATAGGTGATCTGAAAAGGACCACAATACTACTAAAAATAATTATGTTGAATTTGAATTTAATTGCCCATTATGTTGTCCCGAAGTGGTGGTAGGGCAAGCTATATTTGGGACGTGTATAAGCGTCTTAGAAAGGGCCACTGAATTTTTGAATTTTAGTCAAATTCAGTCTGAATTTAATTGATTTATCAATGAATTGAATTTGAATCTAATTTTATATCATTAATTGACTTTCAATCGAAATCTAATCGAATCGGAAATCTTATTGAAATGGAAATTGAATTAGTCACACTTAGATGAAATCATTACATAGTATAAAACAGTGTCGCTTTTCGCTGCCAGTCCCTATGTATGTTTAAAACTTTAAAAGTACGCGATTTGTTGCGATTTTTTATGTAGATAGAGTGATTTAAGAGGAAGGTTTTTAAGTATAATTTGTACCTGTGCGAAGCAGGGGCGGGTCGCTAGTTGAAACTAAATTGAATTGTATTCGAACCTATTTCGCATTAAACTGCGCATAATACTACAGAATAATAATAAGTACTACGTACAGAAGTTTTACTTCGCGAAGGTATTTAAAATAATGTATGCTCAATGTCATTAACAATACGGTGTAATTTAGCCTGTCTCAAGAGTCAAGCACCATTTTGTTGACAAACGTCAGTGATCGGCACTGCGCCGAAGCTATAGGGCTGACTTCGGTAAAATGATGTGACGTGAGGTGCCAAACTGCGGAAAATGGCGGAGGAAATACATGATTTAGCATGAATTATCATGAATAATATTAACTACTTATTTACCTCTCAGTGTCTTGAGGCAACTTAAAAAAGTACATTCTGTGTTTTTATTATTATTTACAGCAGTTAAATACTGCACAGTATTTAGTACACCATTTTCTTTATTTTCTTCCATCATACACAAGAATACGCGTGCGTGAGTCAATGTTCGCTCGTATGTGAGGCCTTGTCGAATAGTATCCTGTAGGTGGCCATCGTGCGTGTTTTGTTTTCGATGTAAACTCGCGGAGATGACAGGCCTGATAATACTCACAGCAGTACCAACGCCGGCGTGCTTGGCCTTCCGATGTAGATGCAAGCCGAACTCGCTGACGAATGACTCGCCGCACAACGAACACATATGCTTGCTGCGGTGCGTGCGTAAGTGCGTGTAGAATGTTGATAGATGGCTGTAAGATAAGGAGAAGATAGTAATTACAATACAGAAGTTGCACAGCGTGCTATGGCGAGGGCTATGCTCGGTGTTACTTTACGAGATCGAATCGTAAATGACCACCCTTTTCCTTGAGCTTTAGGAAGAGCCTGAGGCTTTACGCGGACTTCTTGAGCAAACTCTAGGTGCTATTGCAGTCTTGTTTCTAAAGTTCAGTACCTAGTTAGTATTTCATTCAAACACGTGAAGTGGACTTACTTGAATTCCTTGTCACAGTGCGGGCACTTTCTCTTCACACCGCTGTGGTATTCCTCGTGGAATAGGGCTGAATTCCTGGAAAAATAGACAATCTTATTAATTTGAAAAAATAAAATAATTCAATAAGGTAAACACTGTCATTTTAAGTTCATTTTAGGGGCACGCTACGTTTCTTTATTAGATGGAATCATTTAGAAATAAGAGGTGATTCTTGATCACTGGAAAAATCTTACAAAGTTAATTAAACACAACTAAATAGGTATGGTCAAACGTCAGTGCTTCAGACATGTAGAGCTCTGTCGGTTACGTCTACCCGCGACGTTCCTCTTCCACGGGAACCTACTCAAGTACTTAGTTACGAGCTAATGCATACATTGTCGACATTCCACCACATGCACTACGAACGAACACGAACAACTAGGGACTGGAATTCGCTTCCTGCTGCTGTTTTTCCCGAACAATATACAGGGTGTTAGGTAAATGGGTATATGAGCCGACACTAGCCCATGTTAACATGGGCATATAAATGGTATGGTGAAGTCAGAAAATTGATATCTTCATTTTAATTATTTTAATTTTTATAAAATTTGTTTTGTATGAAAAAAAAAATGTTGATTTCGAATTTCTGACTTCACCATTTATATGCCCATGTTAACATGGGCTAGTGTCGGCTCATATACCCATTTACCTAACACCCTGTATAATCTGGGCCTTTTCAAGGCGAAAGTGAATAAGCACTTTCAGGGCAGATATTTACAATCTACTGCATCTCACTTAACACCAGGTGCGATTGCAGTCAAATACCTGCCTTGTCATGCATAAAAAAATACCGTATTGAGTCCTGATTGAGTTGAAAAACCGTAGGAACTTGCCACCACACCTGGACACCATATGCTCACTCAAGTCTTGTTTACTAATCACACGTAATGTAGTAGAAGTAAATCGGTAGTTATTATATTTTATTACTCACTCTAAGCAGCAGATGAGGCCGCATCTCAGGCACTCGTACTTGTTGTAGTGTCTCCGCAAGTGTTTGTTCAGGAAGCGTTGGTGCTTGAAGCGCATCTTGCAGAAACGGCACACCACCTTGCCGATCGACTGTGGACGTACAGATTGTTGAACAATGTCGTAAGTGTAACAAAATGTAGCTTTGGTAAAGAACACCCTCACTGTTCTCGTGGATGTCGTAAGAGGCAACCAACTAACTACAACCGGGTTGAGTTAACTGCAAACCTAGCAGCCGTGTCGTCAATTCGACGCAACGCGGGGAAGTGCGCGGTTAACTCAACCCAGTTGGGCTGGTTTTAGTGTCACGCGGACCGTCCGGTGCGGATCCGCTCCGCACGGCCAATCTGTATGAACTTCTAGGGAGCGTTTTAGAGTAATGCGGTCCGGAGGAACCGCTCCGCCAGGCCTGGCTCACTCCGCGCGGTACATCCGATAATTACCTACAGCGAAGCGCCCCGCCGGCGGGTATTATATCAGTCGAGTGTCACGCGCGCGCTCGTCAGGACGCTGGCGTGCGTTGTAGTATGATTATAATTCTATGATCGAAGTATTATTTAAAAATGGACATAAAGAGAAAGAAATATTGTGCGGCGTTCGGGTGTTTAAATTCGAAAAGTAATCTACCGGATTCATCTTTTTTTTCGAAGATGCTGAAAGGTATGTTGGCCAAGTGGGTAATCAATAATTCTTAGGATAGTATAGGAACCTAACCTACTATGACTACTGCTCAGAATGCGTCACTGCTGGACAAAGGCCTCTCCCAAGGTTTTCCATAATGAATGCATACTTACCTACATACGTACTACCTCATTACAAATAAGTGGATTAATATTTTTTCACTAGACAGCAACCCTAACAGCGTAAGAGGAGTTCAGAGGCACGCGATAGAAAGAGACAAAACTTGTAGGTGAATAAAATTGTAGGTACGTAGTGCTGTGCGAGCTGAATTCCACTGTATCGCGTCGCAGCAAGACTCGCATTTATTTAAATCGTCTTGCGGAGTAATCCTTCTGTACCTGTACTATTACTTATTCTGTGGCTCCGCTCTCTAGCAGTTCAATCGGCTATGCGGAGCGATCCGCACTGACAGTCCGCGTGACACTAAAACCAGCCTTGTACGGTGCGCACGATCAGCCGGCGTTCAATGCATTTAAGTCTGGTCGCCATCGCTGCACGCCGGCTGATCGCGTGAGATCGCGTTGGTTTGCTTGAGAAAGTCGCATCCCAGCGCAGTGCGGTGCGCAGTTATTTCGATCGAGGTGTAAGGGACAAATATACGAACATTAGCCCTCCCCAACGCGCCAGCGTTAGTATGAGATTATGCCAGTATGAGATTAAACAAAATCCATTTACCTCTGGTAAATAGGCTAGTTTCCTAAATATAAAATTTTTTTTAATCCGTCATGTTTAATATCAAAAAATATTGGACACATATATTTTTATTTGTCAATCTAACAGATAATTACATAGTTATGGTGCGTTGAAGTTCCGCACGACGTCACAACGTGCGGCACTTTTATGCAAGCATTGACGTCACGGGCCTCTTCTTATAAACTTTGGCGCGCTTTATCTCTTTAAATTTTCATTAGTTTGAAAAAGTGAAAAATACGTGTAGAGTATTTTTTGATAAGTTAACTGACGGACTAATTAAAACTCTTGCTTTTTGGCCCAGGAAACATCCCTATTATAATATAATAATATCCTTGGACATTTTACACTGCGCCTCTAGTCCCAAACTAAGCAAAGCTTGTACTATGGGTACTAAACGACGGATATAAACATACTTAAATACTTTTTTTTTGTAAATACATACATATTATACATAGAAAACACCCAGTCCAATACAAACAAATATGTTCATGCACACAAATGTTTGTACTGTGCGGGAATCGAACCCGCAACCGCCGGAATAGTAGTCCGTTTCGAACCACTACACCAAACGGCCGGCCAAATCCATTTATAAATAAATAAATAAAAAGATTTTATTTCCACAAGTTTACAAATTACAATTATTAGATGAGGTTGCGCTTCTGCAGTGAATCCTACTTGACTGGACAGTATTGATGAATTAGAAATTATTTTATAAAACAAAATGTGACTCACCTCATCATGCTTCTGAGGCATGTGCCTATCAAGCATGCTCTTCTGTGAGAAACCTTTATAGCACAGCGTACATTTGAACGGAGCATTCAAATATTTCTTATCCTGCGCTCTCTTATGGAACTCAATCATGGCATCCTCTTCGTTGAAATTGGATCTCTTCCAGAAACCAGAGTCCAAAAACGCAAGGCTCTTCACTCCAGTTCTTGATCTGTTAAACTTGTAGTTTTTCTTCGGTTCAGGCGACACGACAGCTGATTCTTCACCAGCGTCAGAGTCAGTGTCGCTTGTGTCGACGATTTTAGATTTTTTAGTTGCTTTTCTTCTAGGTCTTGTGCTAGTCTGTTTCGGTTTAGTGTTTCGTTTGCCTTTTTTAGCTGGTGTTTTGGCTTTAGCGTCTTCGTCTTCTTTCTTTATGGGAATTTCATCTTCAGACTTCACTTTTTCAGGGATAATAGGGTCGCTTTTGTCCTCCCCGTCCGAATATGGGCCTTCGGAAAACGCGTCTTCTTCCTTAAGAGCCTCAGTTTTTAGCTCATCGGATTTTCTCTCTTCAGGTATAGTTACTGTGATCGGTTTTGGTATAGGTATGTTTTGTTTATGTTGTGAGCTGTGCTTGTTCTGGGAGCCGTGGGAAGAGCCATGTTGACAGTTGAACGTTTTGACCTTTTTGTTGACGGTCACAACTTCCAGCATTAAATAATTGACAGGGTAAACGTTCCTGTTTAGCTCGGCGATTCGGGCGTGTGTGAGCTGTAAATACAATTTTAAGAATGTTGATGATTTTTTACAAGTTAATATTCAGCATTGAATGTGAGATGTGATTCTTTCGTTTGACCATTAAATTGGATAGGCCCTAAGTACATTTGTGGCGCTGTAATGAGGATCAGTACTGTTGTAGAAAATTCAATAAAACTAGTATCTACGTTAATCTTTAAGACATAAGAAAGATATATCTTTTTGAATTATCCAAATCGGACCATTACTTACGAAGATATTAAGTAATAAACATAGGCCGCTAAAAGTCAACGTACGCAAGGCCGCGTGACGTCATTATATCCGAATCGAGCGCAGCCGGCGTACTAATGGGATGGAAAATATTTTTTTCCGGCTAAACTATCAGTTTTAGAAAAAAACTTTTAATAACATTTATTCTTCAAAATAAAGTAACCTATCGACCAGTAATTTTTAAAAATAAAAATTGTGAAAAATAAGTATTGCTATGTCCAAAAACCACATTTATAGCCTGGGGGGAGGGGCAAGCCTTACCCAGCTTCTTGCCTTGGTGGGAGGGGGGAGAGGCAAGTCATACCCAGTTTCTGGCCTGGGGGGGGGTAAGTAATACCCAGCTTCCGGCCGAGGGGGAGTCATACCTAGCTTATGCTTATGGACTGGGGGAAGGGGCTAGCCTTACCCAGCTTCTGGCTTGGGGAGAGGGGGGGGGGAGGGGTCAAGTCATAACCAGTTTCTAGGGCTGGGGGGAGGGGCTAGCCTTACCCAGTTTCGGGCCGGGGGGGGAATCATACCCAACTTCTGGCCGAGGGGGAAGTCATGCCCAGCTTATGACCTGGGGAGAGGAGAGGGGCGGGGTAGTCATACCCAGCTTCTAGGCTAAGATTAAATAGATTTCCAGCACGGAGCGGCTGTCCTTTCCTGCAGCAGCTGGCCCGCCCATGGGAACGGCGAATAGATAGGTAGGTGCGTAGGTTTAACTCAGAAAAACTAAATAACAGGTAGGTATTAAGTAGTGATGAAACGGATAGTTGTTTGGCCGGATACCGGATACCGGATATCCGGCCAGCTGCTAGGCCGGATAGCCGGATATCCGGCGGCCGGATACTTGGCCCATTGTCTCGTTGCATCCTCATTGTTATACCTAGTATTGTTTTGCAACTAAAATGTTTATTAGTCTGATATCCACTATACATGGACTGTATTTTCAAATTGAAAGTGATTCTAAAAGGTATTAAGTTAAACAAATTAGCCTCCAGATCTAATTCATGTGAGTTTGTTTTGCTAATTTTGTTTGTGTTGATTTATTTACAAGTTCACAAACTCTTACGATCAACATCAATGTTTATGATACTTACTGGTTTGCTCCACAACATGTTATTGAGGACCTTCTCTCCGTGGTCACATTTCTCCTTGAACATGTGAAACTTGTGCAGCAACGACGCGCATTCGTAGCAGAAGTACTTGGGCAGCTTGTCCTTCTTCGCAATCTGGTTGAGAAAATTATATCATTATAACTGCATACCCTTAATTTACGTCAGCGAGATATTGAGTTTATAACGCATGAGATTGTAAACTCACAGTAAGTTAGGTTACGTTAGATTATAATATTAATATGTCAGATTATACAATATTACGGTAACATTTACACCTATTCTAGTTAGTTAGTTTGTGCCCGAAATAGATAATGTGTTTAACAACATAATATTTGGTGGTCTATATTGAATGAACATATAAAACATTCTATTGTGGTCAATATTTGAAGCATTATAGCAAATAATAACTAAGTTTGAAAAGGCCTGACCACTGCTGGACTAGGTGTGTCTCAAATCCATTAATATTAATGTAATTAGATTAAGATATCTTATTGACCACATAATTATTGGGAAGAAGCAAAATAATAAAGAAAGAAAATATTGTAAGCAGTCACTAGGAAGTCTAGGAACTATTATTGTATAGACAGGCACATTCCAAGATGATTTTAGGTCAATGGATTGGCAAGATAGAGTAAGTCTTTTGCTAGTATTTACAACTCGGTACAGTAGAAGATTATATCTTAACTTGGAAATTAGCAAATTATTAGGGAAATAACAGATATTCGGGAGGAAACTCACGGGTTTGTGTGTAACTTCTTCATAGTATTTCTTCAAGTCAAATTTGTCGAAATGGTAAAATTTCGAATCATTCCGAAAGCATATCCTGCACACTTTAATATCACCTCCCATCCTGAGGCATTAATATTCCTTTTTTCGGGAAATAATTAACATTTTTCGTAAGACAAATTACGATTTCGGCCGTGACGCTCACACACACACACAAGTCTGTCACAAACAAATGTCAATCGATTGTCAGTCGAAGAAAGCATCTGTTTTTTAATCTGTGTTTGTCAGTTCGTATAGTGACGTGCTACACAGTTTTATAATCGAATGCAATTTAAAAATATTTTAAAAACCATTTTATAAATTCAAACAGGATAAAGATAATTATTATTTTAAGAGCAAAATAATGTTAATATTTTGGTTATGGCAGAATAACAGGATTTGTGGGTCTCCTGCAATTACGGAGTCATTATCTTTTACCACTGCAACTGTTTACACGGTGCCAGGACTGCCAGGCTGCATAATTCGTATAAAAATTACACACTTCCACCCAAGAGCGTCATAGTAAAATCAAGTTTGGAAAGCCCTTGACTAGGGACTTTAGGGCTCTATTTTAACCATGCTGTCTGTTGTAAAAAAACATTATAGGAAGAGAATAACAATAAAAAACTATTGAGCTAATTAGTTTTTATTGAAATATATTGGATTTTACACAAATATTCAACCTTACACGCTACATTTAATTCGAAATAAAGTACAGAAATAACAATTAAATGCGCTTTATTAAGTTAATTTATATTCGAGTTGCCGCGGCCGGTGATTTATTTAAACAATATCATATCATTCTACAATAAAATTCTTGATCTAAAAAATATATCTTAGCTAAATACAGGGCGAATTGTTTTACTTTTGATTCTAAGTACTGAAAAAGCTTGATTGTTGTAACACTTATTTTCTATCTACAACCTCTCAACATTTTTATAATAAATGCTACTATGTAAACTACTATACTGTTAAAAATATTAAATTATCGCAAGAAATCAATCAAGTCTTTTTTTTTCAAATAGAAGACAATCGATTAATAAATTAAATAAAACTGCGCTGCATCGATTTTATATTTAACAGTTGGCACCACTGGCGATTGATATGACCGAATTCTACAGTGGCGCCATCCAGATGAGTGGAAATGCGATAGTCCTCCTACCGCCGTATTCAAAAACGATGCTTGCATAAGTGAAGCAGCAAATGGAACGCACAGCGTTGAATAGAGCTTTGTGATGGGTTCGTATGTTACCCTGTGCGTCCACGCGCACTGTGTCTCACAGTAATGTTTGTCAATACGGGTGTTAGGATTATTAGTTCTGAATATTACTGGTACACATATTCTAGTTAAATAAATAACGATAACACTAAACTTGTCAGTAAGATAAAATTATTCTTCTTCCTTGACGATGTTTTTTCTTCGATTCCTGTAAATCAATAAAAATCATTAGTAACAGGAAAGCTGGAATAGTTAATATTCAAAGAACGCACATAGTTCTGTTAGAAATGTAATTAAAGCTTGGTAATTATTAACAATTATCCGGCTCGAAGGACCATTGAAAATGTTGTGCAAACGGGAAACAATATTTAAACGATTTTCATGCGTACGAAGCTATTAATATTGATATGATTAGTCTCATTAATCTTATTCTTACTAAAAAGCTTCAAACCTCTTCGGGTAAGGTTGCTTGAGATGGAACGTTCTGTAGTGGAGACTGAGGCTGCCGTTCTGAGTGAACCGCTTGTCGCAGAGCGTACAAGGGAAGTTCCTTTCGCCGGTGTGCGTCTAGAATTAACAACGTTCATTTAGACCACCGGTTTTTCAAATTACAAAGCAAGTAACAACTACTAATATTTTTAATTTTGGTAAGCTAATGCTTTTATGAAAATGTTTTTGGCAACTTTCCCCGCTTTTAGACTCTTAGACTAGGCGCAGACCACCGATTTTTAGTTGGCCGATGGTTGTGCCCGATTTTAGATTGTATGAAGAATCGGCCAAATCGAATCGGTGTAATGTGCGCACTCCCATACATGCCCATACTGATCAACTGCCCGACTAAACTATTGGCCGACGAAAAATCGATGGTCTGCGCCTAGGCTTAAAAACGACACTATGTTTACAATCCAGAGGGGGGTGAACTGCCCAATCCCGGGGGGATTATTAAATAAATATAAAGAAATAAATATCCTTGGACATTTTACACTGCGCCGCTAGTCCCAAACTAAGCAAAGCTTGTACTATGGGTACTAGACAACAGATATAAACATATTTATAAATACATTTTTTTTTTGTAAATACATACACATTATACATAGAAAACACCCAGACTCGTCACAGAAACTAAAATTCATCATTTAAATTTCTGCCCGACCGGGAATCGAACCCGGGACCTCTCAGCATAGTAATCCGTTCTGACTGAACCACTACACCAAACGGCCGACTTGTTATTGAACAAATTACTAATAGTCCCGTTAGCGTTAGCCCCTCGTTTTGATATCTTCATCTTGATACAGTCAGCCGTAGCCGTAGTAGTACTTGTAATAAGGTTGTATTATCGTTATTTAAAGTTAGTTTTTAACTTTAAATAACGATAACCCAAAAGATAAGGAGACATGTAAAGTGCCCCATAAGGGCTACCTTTTTCTTTTTTTATTATTTTCTATTGACGTTCATAAGTGCCACTTGTGGTCTAAACTGAATAAATATTTTTTGATTTTGATTTTTGATTTTGAACTTATTGGCCAACTTGGCTGTCACGAACTATTTGACGCTGACTGTACGATCTATTGGCTGGATCAAGTGGCGACCACGCCCCTTTATAGTCCAGGGGCCCACTAAGGCGACGTCAATAGTTCATTCAACTCACCACTAGATGGTTCTTAAGCATGTTGCTGGTAGTGAAAGACCGGCCGCAAGTGTCACACGTGTACATTTTACTGCGAGTATGCTGGTTCAAGTGTGCGGCCACGCTGCCCAACTATGGAATACACAATTACAATTAAATTTTGATACCTATTAATTTTTATGATGCAAAAGGCAGGTATTTGTCCACAATCACACCTGATGTTAAGTGGAGATGCAGTTTAGGGTGGTCTTGGTACATGCTTGCTCAGCCAATGTGTAAATATCCTCAGACTGATAAGAATGCGTAATAATTCCATTTATCGAGTAAAATATTATCTATCGGGCTACTGGGCTATTAGGATATTGACTTACCGCCAAAGAAGCGCCGCAAATCTCGCAAATGACGCGTTCAGCGTAGAAAGGCTTCCCGCGATGTTCTGCTAAATGGTGACGTAGGCACGACGAGTGGCTTTCGAACGATTCATTGCACTGTAAACAATAAGTTTTATCATCAGGAATTTCGTCTCCATTGTAGGAACACTTCGGAGAATGTGCGAAAGAATTACACAAACTAAAGTCTGTTCGCCGAGAGTTGATATATTATGAAATGTCTTGCAATAGCGACTGTCGCTTAATTATCGCATTCTGTATGGCGGGCGTCGTTTGTCACAACGCGCACTGAGTACCATGGTACGAGCCACGCAGCTGTCGTCAAGCGCCCCGGCCGGCGGGCCGCAATGTGTGAAACGGAATAGATTTATTTTACACTAGCTGACCCGGCGAACTTCGTACCGCCTTAGCGTAGAGATTTTCTTAATATTTTTTTCCGTAAGAACCATCCTTGGACTTCCACAAACATTTAAAAAAAAGAATTATCGAAATCGGTTCAGCCGTTCACACGTGATGCCGTGACAACGCGAAACGGGTTTCATTTTTATATATATAGATAAGACCGAAATGAATGGTATGACAGTGGGTAGGGCTTTGCCCAAAATTGGGATACACTATAAGCCACTTGATAATAATGAAATACTTTTTATCCAACACATGGACGCCACGTGTTTGATCCGTATCCCCACGTATGCCCTAACCGGAATAATTCCCGTTAAAAGAGATAATAATGATAATAATCTACCAACTTTTTCATTATATCGACAAAAATAATTAGCGGGCCGCAATGAGGATCAGTACTGTTGTAGAAAATTCAATAAAACTAGTATCTACGTTAATCTTTAAGACATAAGAAAGATATATCTTTTTGAATTATCCAAATCGGACCATTACTTACGAAGATATTAAGTAATAAACATAGGCCGTTTTTGCCGCTAAAAGTCAACGTACGCAAGGCCGCGTGACGTCATTATATCCGAATCGAGCGCAGCCGGCGTACTAATGGGATGGAAAATATTTTTTTCCGGCTAAACTATCAGTTTTAGAAAAAAACTTTTAATAACATTTATTCTTCAAAATAAAGTAANACGCAGTACGCCGGCAGCGTTCGGATCGGATATAATGACGTCATCGTCCCCGCGCCGGGCGGTCAGTGAACTTTTTTAGTAATTTGGCCATAACTTCGTCAATTTTTGTCGTAGAACAAAAATTTTTGCACTGTGTATTAAGGATTTCTTAGCCCTATAAATCTGCATTCACAGCTAAAAATCGAAATGATCCTCATTTATAATGAGTTTAGAACCTCTGATATATTTTTTTTATCAACTCTCGGCGAACAGACTTTAATTCCACCAGCCCCCTTCAATCATCGAGGAACCAGACGCAGGTTAGCGTACCATCCCTATATTGCTGACATTCCATCATCTCGCACTAAGCTCTTCGATGACTATTTTATAATGCGAACAGCTAGGGACTGGAATTCGCTGCCTGCTGCTGTCTTTCCCGAAGACTATAATCCGGGCATTTTCAAGACGAGAGTGAATAGGCACTTACAGGGCAGATATGTACCATCCTAGACTGCATCCCACTTAACATCAGGTGCGATTGTAGTCAAATAACTGCCTTGTTATGCATAAGGATTTGGCTTACACTCTTCACTCTGGTCAGATGGGTTTGGAAGATTATATTGTTTTTCATTTAGTAATTTCTTACCTCCACAGAAAGAGTGGGGTGGTTAAAAGAGCTCAGTAGAACGTAAGTTCACTTAATATTTATTTTCAGATACTTAATAATATTGAAACAAATTACCTATACACCTAATCTATTGAGGCGTTTATAAAGGTCAAATGCAGGTAATAATGAGAAGATTTTAATCAAATAAATAAATAAATAAATAAATTATGGAAATTATTAGAAGAATGTTTTGCAGTGGACGTCCCATTTCATTAATGACATCTTACAACACTGGATAATTTAACCACATTCGACTTTACCCATCTCTATCTCTCTTCAATTCTAGTACGAGTGAAAGAGACAGATAAAGTTTACAAGCTACACTCACATGTTGACACGTGGTCGGTTTCTTAAGAGTGCTCCTCGTAGAGAGACGAGTCTTGGCACTTTTTCTGACCGCACATAGTTCCTTCTCGACGTTTGATCTCCTAAAGAGAAAACAGAAATTTTAAATCGTGTGATCCTTAACACAAAGCAGTAAGGTTCAAAATTCGGTGGAAATTTGTGGCACAGAGCCTTATGAAGGGTAGAAGTTGCTTACCGGTTAATCAGGCCTTTGGATTCCTGAAACAAAAGGTATATTTTGAGAACATATTCCATACGTGAATTGCCTACACTAATATTGATCGAAAATATATATTTTTGTTGCAAAATGGCACTTATTATTACTACTAAAGTCTGGTCGCCGAGCACGTAGAATTTCGTCCAATGACCCCAAGCTACCCATTCTTATCGCTCGCGCGTAATTATATTGCTGTCGCGACTGTGCGACGGGCGCCCGCAGTGAGTGTGCGACCGCGACAGCAACATAATTACGCGCGAGCGATAAGGATGGGTAGCTTGGGGTCATTTGACGATATTCTACGTGCTCGGCGACCAGACTATACACAAGGTTCTGGACAGCACTGAGCACATCAAGGCAAATAATCGTACTGTGGTGTAGTATACAGGTATTATTATGCACCAAAAGGGTATCTGAAGTCCTGTACTTTGCATTGCATTCTCATAGCATTATTTACAGTATAGGAACTGTTCGTTCGTTTCAGCCAAATGACGTCCACTGCTGGACAAAGGCCTCCCCCAAGGTTTTACACGGTCCTGCGCTACCCGCATCCAGGTTCTTATTTATTTATTTATTTATTTTAAACTTGTATGCACATAAAACAGTGTACATTAGGCGGACTTAATGCCTTTCGGCATTTTCCTCCAGTCAACCTTAGGTTCCCAGGTTCTTCCTACGATAGGAACTGTATTAATACAAAATACATACAGATATAACAAAGGATATACTCACTGGATCAGGTTCCTTAGTTTCTGTGATTCTTTTATCTTGCTTTTCCCTGTTTTCTGTTGCATATTCGCTTAGTTTTTCGTTTCTGTAATTAAATAATAGAAGTAAATAAATGTACACTGACTTAGTCAGTGTACATTTATTTACTTCTATATCATATATCAATATATAAATCAATATATAAATCAATATATAAATATCATATATCATAAGCGTAAGACCAAAGACTTGAGATCGCTTTGAACTATAAAGGTCATAGCAGACTTATCAGCTCGGAAAGGGATCAACGCCGTATAGTTCCAAAATACTGAACTGTCCTATGCATGACATTGACAGTGGGGCGCCACCGTCAATACCGGATCGCTGGTTCCGATTTTTGCCATGTTGGAAACCATATAGTTGAACGATGGTAGCGCCCCCCTGTCATTGAGTTTGGTGGGACAGTTCAGCGTGGGTCATCTATATCGCCTTTCGCGCGCTGTCATCGCCATTCGCGCCCTGTCACCCGCGAGGCGAGGCGTTTACGTTACGGTGCGGATAAGTGTGCGTTGCAGTATGGAGTTTCATACAAAGAATACTGACCGCCTCGAGTTGATACGGTTACGATCCCTTTCCGGGTTGATAAGTTTAGTGTGAGACAACATTTAGAATTAGTATTTCATCATCATCATCATCAATCCAGCCACAAGACGTCCACTGCTGAACATAGGCCTCCTCCAATGACTTCCACATCGCACGGTTGGTAGCGGCCTGCATCCAGCGCCTTCCTTATCAGGTCGTCGGTCCACCTTGTGGGTGGACGTCCCACGCTGCGTTTTCCGGTACGGGGCCTCTGCCCCATCGGCCGTCAGTTCTGCGTACTATGTGCCCTGCCCATTGCCACTTCAGCTTGCTAATCCGTCGGGCTATGTCAGCGACTTTAGTTCGTTTACGGATCTCCTCCTCGAATTAGTATTTGATACAGTAATATTGTAAGATCATTTGACTTATTAATAAAAGTTACACCCTATAGTCCTTTTCACCTAAGATGATTCGTATGACGTTTCGAGTTTGAAAGTTATAGAGATGTCACATAACTAAACCATAGCGATTTATTTATCGATTTTTTTAAGAGTTAGTAAAACCTACTTTTAGAGAAATATTTTGTACAGGTGTTATTTAACAAAAAACATGTTTTTTTTAATTACAAATATTATTTTAACAATTGTTTATTGATAATTTTCAAATTCCATGGACTTCGTGTTCAAAAAACGATTCCTAAAAAGTACTGGTTCTGTTTCTTTAAATTAAAAACTATTAATTTATTTTCAATGCGTTAATAAAAGTCAACAATCGAAAAATAGAGTTGTTTTTTGTGATGTTTTTAATAACTAAGTATTCACTGCAATCGATTAATGAACCGCGGAAATTATCGATTTTGTTATACAACAAATACCCCAGCACTAAATCTATTCCGTTTCACACATTGCGTACATTAAATAAAAATTATTTTTACATCGTATTTGATTAAAATACAATCAGTTAACTCATATTTTACTATATTATTTCAAGACAAGTAGTTAATTTTTTTTTTATTATATTGCTAATAAAATGCAAATATTTTTTCAAAAATATTCTGCATATGTAGTATGCGTAATATGGATAACCTTGAAGTGTCATACGGATCATCTTACGTGAAAAAAAGACTATATAGTTCCAAAATACTGGACTGTCCTGTCGATGACATTGACAGTGGGGCGCCACCGTCAATACCGGATCGCTGGTTCAGATTTTTGCCATGTTGGAAACCATATAGTTGAACGATGGTAGCGCCCCCCTGTCATTGAGTTTGGTGGGACAGTTCAGCGTGGGTCATCTATAGTTGAACTCTGGCTTGAGTTGTCAAATAAAAGAGTAATTGAAATGTCATTTTAATCTAGTGTTCATCCTAGGTGTAACTTTTTATTAATAAGGCCCAGTTTTTTGATTCATAGTTAAAATAATAACAAATTGTTAAATTTTGTTACTAATGGTTAAATATTAACAAAATGTTAACTAATAGTTAAAAAATGTACTAAAAGTCAAGCTAACCATTGTTGGAAAAACATTTTTTTCTGATATTTAACCACTTGTCATTTGACATCTGTCAAATTTGACTATTGGTTATTTTAACTACGAATCAAAAAACCGGGCCTAAGGGGAATAGAGTAATGTACTCACTCTTCAGTGTGTAATGCGGAATGGGACAGGTGTTTCTCGTATGCTGTTTTGCATTCGAAGTTGATCTTGCACACCCCACAGTACCACGAGTTGCGATCACCTTCGGGGGCTACGTTGGTTGTCTGCTGAAGGTGGACGAATGAGGTTAGATAACAATTTAGCAAAAGACGGTAAAAAATTATTGAAATTGAACTAGAAAAACAAAGACACGGCCTCAATTTTAAGACGCAACTTTCTAATAGGTAGTATTTGCGGATCGGTTACTAAAGTTCGGTCGCCGAGCACGTAGAATTTCATCCAATGAGCCCAAGCTACCCATCCTTATCGCTCGCGCGTAATTATATTGCTGTCGCACTCGCATACTCATTGCGGCCGCCTATCGCACAGTCGCGATAGCAATATTTTATAATTACGCGCGAGCGATAAGGATGGGTAGCTTGGGGTCATTGGACGACATTCTACGTGCTCGGTGACCGGACTATACCAGAAAATGGGGGTTGTCGTATTTCGCTCATTAGTTGGCGCCACTTGCGAGTGACAAGTCCTTACTCAACAGTGGCGCCAACTCGATGCGTGCGATTTCGATATTCTTACCGCTTCAGCGTTCACCATTAGGCGCCTATACAGGGTGGAAACGATAAGTGATCTCTCTTGATTATTTCTAAACTATACAAGATATCAAATAACTAGTTACTGTTCCTGGAAGTGCTTTATGAGCTCTATCAAACGGTGCCAATAATAGGTTACAAAATAAACTGGATCTATCCGAAAATGCAATGTTTCCGGCTGAAGGATCAATGGTGAAGGATGATGATAAGGACTCACCGTGACCTCCCTATGCTTAGCCTTCCTGTGCATATGGAGTCCCAGCTGGCTGACGAAGGATTCTCCGCATAGTGCGCACAGATGCTTGCTTCGATGTGTGCGCAGGTGCGAGTAGAATGATGACATGTGCCTACAAGGTAACATTAACACTACCACTCGTTCGCGCTAAGTTTGCCGGTCCGTGGAATGCGCGTCCCCTAACCGCGATTAAACGCAATTGATGTGTCTTATTTTACGCAAATACACAATTTTTATCAATAATAATTAGTTTGTTATAGTTTTAGACGTTTTCCTTCGAGTAACGTCATATCGCCAGCGGCAAACTTATCGCGAACGGATAGTACATACAGGGTGACTGGATATGGATCCGCCATAGCAAATTAATTCAATCAAATAAAATAGAAAGACACGTGTAATAAAGGTTTAACTCGACGTTTGTTAAAGGTTCAGTCAAACCAACGCGATCGGGAAGTCGAACCTTAATTTCGAACTCTTCCTATGTTCTTCTGATTAATTTCGTTGCGGGTTCAATGACAGTTTAACTTTCCCCCGGGACAAACTTAACTTTCATTGGTTGGGTTTTTGTGGCGGTCAAGCTGTAGATCCTGGCTACACACAGTGGCGGGGCAAGACCTAAATTTGATGTGGGCAAGACAGATTTCGCGAGGCCTTGTTCTGTGGCGAACTGAATTATAAAAAAAGTAATAATAAAAAAACAATGAACACTGACAAGTTTTTATTCATAAAAATACAAATTAGATTAATATTATAAAACATTTTTTTTGAGGCGTGAGGCCCCTTGTACCGCGAGGCCGTAGGCGGTGGCCCACGTCGCCCACGCCTTACGCCGCCACTGGCTACACAGGTAGGGCATGAATATCGGAATCTCGGAATCTCGTAATATCGGAATCTCGGACTGCGAGATCCGATATTTCAATTCCGATATTGAGCGACCCAATATCGTAATATCGGAATCAGATAAAAGTTTTAATTGAGATTTTAAACAAAGGGTTTAAACTCGCCACAACCTGACACAAAGCCCAAAGTACATGATTGGCAAAGACCAATTTTATTTATTTATTTATTTATTTATTATTCATTATTGAGCAATTACATATTTGATCCAAATAGCGTCCTAAATCCTTTTCTCATGTCTCTCTCCATCACTTTTTGTTCCACTGCAAATATTTTAATATCTTTACTATTTATAGTTAACTAGCTGACCCGGCGAACTTTGTTCCGCCTTAATGGTAATAAATAAGCAGACTTTTTTTATTTCGAACGGGATAAAAAGTATCCTATGTCCTTCTCCTGGCTCTAAACTACCTCCCTGACAATTTTCAGCTAAATCGGTTCAGCCGTTCTTGAGTTATAAGCGAAGTAACTAACACGACTTTCTTTTATATATATATAGATTTAACTTGTTCTAAACCAATTTTAGCATTTGCCATAGGTACTTGGTCAACAAAGAACGACATCTCAACTCCCTTTCAAACATTAATTTTACTGGACTATGGACCGTCAGTTCTGCGTACTATTTGTCCTTCCTGCCCATTGCCACTTCAGCTTAGCAAGCTGATCCTTCGGGCTACGTCAGCGACCTTAGTTAGTTTACGGAGCTCCTCATTTCTGATTAGATCTCGTAAAGTAACACCAAGCTTATCCCTCTCCATAGCACGTTGTGCCCTATATTCAAAGGCCACGTTTTCGAGCCGTATATCATCACTGGTAACACACACTAATTAAAGACTTTCGTCTTCGTATTTGACGATTTACCTCTTTCTCGAAATTGCATCTAACTATCTAGCTGATCGTTTATCTGAGATAGACACCTGCCTGTTGGGAAACTCGATTAAGGTCTTCGAGCATTGTGATAAGGTCTTCCAACGGTTCTGCCTTAGTACGCAAAACAGACGGACGATGAGGCAGCAAGGTTCTGAAGTGGAGGCCACGTACCGGAAAGCACAGCGTAGGACTCATAACCACAAGGTGGACCGTCGACCTCATAAAGGTAGCAGGAAGACGCTGGATGTAGGCCGCCACCAACCGGCCATTGTGAAAATCAGCATCGGAGCCTGTGTTTATCCTATGGTTGACATATGGCTGGCTAGTGGTTTGGTGAGTCGTACCTACATCGATAATCAAAAAGGAACAAATTACAAGCATATTCAAGTTTTTTACCACTCTCTACAATTTTTGTAACACGTGATTTGAATGACTCTAAAATTCGTTCCGCCCCAACATAAAACAGGGTAATATAATGAAGGAGTAAAAGTTTGTTTGATACCTGTGATTTTACAAAAACACTTTAATTATTTGCTAGTCCATATAGGCTCATTATCAGTAACCATTCATTATCAGGTGATCCGTCTGCTCATTTGCCTCTTGTCACATAAAAAACCAAATGCAATGGATACCCATAGCGTAAAAATGGTTTTAAAATACTTCAATTTTATGAAGTGCTGTTTTGTACCTACCAAATTAAAGATTTTGATTAAAATCATTATTTTATTGTAAACAATCCAGAATTCTTACGAATATTAATTTAATAGCACATGAACTCAATTCCGATATTAATATCGGAATTCCGATATTGAGATCTAATATCGGAATCCAATATCGGAATTGAAAATCTTCCGATATTACATGCCCTATACACAGGAGTTGCAGTGGTGGGATAGGTCCCCAAACCAACGCGATCAGCCGGCGTGCAGCGATGGCGATCAGACTTAAATGCATTGATCGCCATCGCTGCACGCCGGCTGATCGCGTGTGATCGCATTGGTTTGGCTGAACCTTTATTCAATCATCCTGACACTGACACACAAATGATATCCAGTATCATCCGAAATCGGTTTCTTTTGATAGCTCGTGGTTGATGCTCTATACCAGTGGTTCTTAACCTTTAAGTCATGAGGGACCATTTTACCAAATTTCTGTCTTGTCAGGGACCACCTCATAATCGGTCAAAACCAGTTTGACTGCAAAAATCAGTTAAAATTGGTTTTGACCAAGGTGTGCAAGTGCACTTCGTAGACCACTTGGAATGCTTCCAGGGACCACCAGTGGTCCGCGGACCACCGGTTAAGAACCACTGCTCTATACCGAAGGAACTTTATGAGTCCTATCAATAGCACCCTCAATGAATTTATCAATCCAGTCCAATCTACTAAGGCAGACATAAATGAAAATGCTTAGTTTATACTCCTAAAAAGAAATGAGATCGATACAGATTCCAGAACAAAAAACATATTATAAAGACTAGACATTTTCTATTCTAACTAACATTTTTTTGTTGGTGATTAAAACAAATAAACTTACTTGAACTCTCTCTCACAATGCGGGCACTTTCTTATCACATTCCTGTGATACTCTTCGTGAAACAAGGCTGTACTTCTGTAAATAAAAACCATTTAATTTATAAACGGCCTTAATTTTACATGCACGATCAAAGGCCAATGACAGGTCGCGTGAATGAGGGTTTTCGCGATTGAAAAATCCGCCAGATGGCAATACGTAGACGCGAGGTCCAAATGCTGCATGATTGGTGGATTTTGACACTGTTGGAAAGTTAGAAACTTTTTGGTTAAACGCAAGCATATTTGAATATTTTAATTTGGCACTCCGCTGTCAATGTATAAGGCTTCCAGACTTCTGGATAAATCACTCGATCTCATGTAGTCTCTGTGTGCTGTATGTTCTAAAATAAATCCGTGGTAATCTTCGTGGTCTTTTCCTTCTTACGATCCAAATTCCAACATGTCATGTCAAAAATAACCAATCATGCAGCATTTGGACCTCGCGTCTACGTATTGCCATCTGGCGGATTTTTCAATCGCGTAAACCCTCATTGTTATGGGTCGCGCGCCCTGTCATTGGCCTTTGATCGCGCCGGCGATGGCGATCTGCACGCTTTGGTGTGGTTGAAGCTTAAAGTGTTCAACTTATTCATAACTGTCTGGTCCGTGAGCACGTAGAATTTTGTCCAATGCCCCAAGCTACCCATCCTTATCGCTCGCGCGTAAATAAACGCGCTCACGGACAGGGCATTAGATACATGTACGGTACTGCCTCATGCCAGGCGCAAACTGGGAAGGTGTGCTAACTGGTAAGGTACTATCACTGATTGATGGCGCCAACTAGTATATGATGCTATCACTTGACGATGTCGCCAACTGGGATCGAGCTGTCGTCGTCATTCGCCAATGGCGCCAACTGGGAAGGAGCTGTCGTCGTCATTCGCCAATGGCGCCAACTGGGATGGAGCTGTCGTCGTCATTCGCCAATGGCGCCAACTGGGATGGAGCTGTCGTCGTCATTCGCCAATGGCGCCAACTGGGATGGAGCTGTCGTCGTCATTCGCCAATGGCGCCAACTGGGATGGAGCTGTCGTCGTCATTCGTGAAAGGCGCCAACTGGGATGGAGCTGTCGTTGTCATTCGCCAATGGCGCCAACTGGGACGGAGCTGTCGTGGTCATTCGCCAATGGCGCCAACTGCTAATGCATCATCATCAGTGACGCCAAATAGCGGGATCGTGTCAAATGATGACTTACAGTACCTTACTTTACATAAACTATCCATTATTTTTATTACAAAAAAATAATAGCACTTACTCCAAGTCGCAAACGAGTCCGCATCTCAGGCACTCGTACTTGTTGTAATGTTGTCGCATGTGTTTAGTCACGAAGTAGTTGGACTTGAAACGCATCTTGCAGAACCGGCAGACGCATGGACCCACCGCCTGTAATTCATAGTTTAATATAACCCCCTTGAGTTTATTATGTAGTGACTAAAGCCCGGTCCGTGAGGACGTAGGATTTTGTCTAATGACCCCTAGCTACCCATCCTTATCGCTCGCGCGTAATTATATTGCTGTCGCGACTGTGCGACTGGCACCCGCAGTGAGTGTGCGAGCGCGATAGCAACATAATTACGCGCGAGCGATAAGGATGGGTTGCTTGGGGTCATTGGACAAAATTCTACGTGCTCACGGACCAGACTATAGGTACATATATTTTAGACTGTAAACCCTTGTAAAAGAGGCTGACAATAGTGACTATTTCTTGTGCTGCTTCTTCTCAGCACTGGCCCACTTATTGTCCCGAAGCAGTAGTCGGGTTAATACTGGGATGTGTAAAAGTGCTTTTTAGAAGCCTATTTGCAAAAATATATGAATTTTATGAGTGTTTTTTTTATTTCAATTTCCCAAAATCTTCCACAGTAGATAAGGTCGCTTAATCTTGTAGTTACATTTAAATTTTTTTTATTTTGATTTTTTAACACTGTGTAAAAGCTGAGCACGTGACATTGGCGGAACAGCGGCGAAACAGCACTAGTTCATCGCCATCAACAAAAGAAGAAGAAGACACACCCATAGCTCAGAGACTGAATAAAGTCACTTACCTCATTATGCCTGTGTGCGATATGCCTGTCAAGCATACTCTTTTGTGAAAAACCCTTAAAACATAAAGAACATTTAAATGGTGCATGTATGTATTTCTTTTCCAATGCCCTGTTATTGAATGCTTCCATAGCCTCTTCGTCACTGAATTGTGATCTCTTCCAGTTTTCTGTGTTCTGTAAAAATTCAAAGTTATTTTCATACACCCCTTTTATAGGTTTGTTGAATTTGTAAGTTTTTTTTGTAGCAGGTGTCATCACAGCTGTTGGTTTACTCGATTTGATTTTGCTCAGCTCTATGTCGTCACTTTCATCTCCTGAATCAATTTTTATCTTTTTACTTGTTTGTTTAGTGTTTTTTCTGGGCTTTCTTGCTTGTTTTGTGTTTGCTCTCTTTTTTGGTTTGGCTGTTTTGGCTAATCCTTTTACTGATTCGACAGTCAAAGTTACTTTTGCTTTCCTATCTTCCATAATGGGTATTTCTGGTTCATCTACTTGAAGTACGTTATTAGAATTTTCTGATATAATAAAATCTTTTTTATCTTCATCATCACTATTTGCAGTGTTTTCAAAATGATCAAATGCATCGTCTTCCCCTACAGGATCACTTTCTGGGTCTTTGTTATAGATTTCGTCGTCAGAGAAGGGGCCCTCGGTGAAATCCTCATTGATTACTTCCACTTTTATATTGGCAGGGTTTTCGTGTTTAAAGGTGTATGTTTTAACACGGTCAGTGATGTTTAGAATCTCTAACGTTATGAATTTGGGTCGAAGTTTGAGGTTTATTTTGCGGTTTATTTCACAGATTTCATATGTGAGCTGTGAAAGTGAAAGAAGAACAATATTATTTAAAGGTAAAAACTAGTAATACAAGGAAAGTTAAGAAAATTTTTTATGAATAATTAAGAAGAAATGAAGAATACTAATATTTGTGCCGTGTACCCCACTTTTATTTAAAAAAAAATTTAGTTCAGTTGTTTCAGCCTAAAGACGTCCACAGCTGGATATGGGTCAAGGAATTCCACAAAGACCGGTCCTGCGCCGCTCGCATCCAGGCACCTCCCGCGACCTTCACCAGATCGTCGGTTCACCTAGTGCCATGTCTTTCGGCTCGTGGCCGCCTTTATAAAACCCTTGCAAATAAATGTTAAGTAGTTTATAGACTTACCGGACCACCCCTGAGCATGTTCTGAAACATTTTGTCTCCTTGATGGCACTTCTCCCGGAAGCGATGGTATTTGTGCAGCAGCGCAGCGCACTCATAACACAGGTACTCCGGTAATCCATCTTTGATATTCAGCTGTACGATGATAAAAAAATAGATTATTAAAAATGCAGATGAGAGAAATAAAGCTATCTTATAAAATAATCTATACTTATATTATAAATGCGAAAGTAACTCTGTCTGTCTTGCTATCACGCCTAAACCACTGAACCAAGTTTGATGAAATTTGGCATAGAGATAGTTGAGTCACGGGAAAGGACATAGGATAGTTTTTATCCCGGTTTTTAAAACAGGGACGCGCGCGATAAAGTTTTTCTGTGACAGACAAAAACCCACGCGGGCGAAGCCGCGGGCGGAATGCTAGTTATGAATAGCTATTCTTCTTTCTAATTTGAAGCTCTAAGTGTGTTATGGAATTATAGTTAGTGGAAATAAGAAAAAATAATCTTTAAACAGATTTATAAAGATTTAATTGATTAAGATTATGCTCACAAGCACTTGGATTATTATACCCAAACTATCATACTTTTTAACACCTTAGTACTCAATTTTGCTCTTTAAATTGTAGTGCACATTATTAAAGATTAGTTATTTAATAATAATGAGAAAGGCTAGAAAATAGGTCGCCACTCACAGGTTTGTTTGTTACTTCTGCATAGAATTTATGCAAGTCAAATGCTTGTAAATGATAAAACTTTCCATCATTTCGTAGGCAAATCCTACACACTTTGAAACCACACATTTTTCAGTCTACATGATTAATTAGGAAGACTAGAAACAACAAGAAAATTAATATAAAAACAATCACAAATCAAACACAATTTTTTTTTTGCTTATTTTACTTCAAAATTAGATGTCAAGTCAGTGTTGCCAACTCGGATTTTGAAAAAGTCGTAGGACAGATTAGAAAATTACGTAGAAATGGTACAATTTCCATATAGAAAATACGTAGATCTATAGCCTGACCAGGAACATAAAAACCCTGGCATAGAGGCGCTTCAATTGCATTTGATAGTGCAACACTGAGTACAGTCGTACATGTGTTAAATTAATAGGCTAAATTTATGTATCAGGATTCAGGATTACGGGCTAATTTGATATTTTCATAAATTAACGAAAAATATTATTAAAGGTAAACTGGTTTAAATAAATTAAATGAAACCATCAATCGAGCTAGTAGGATTTATTTTATTATTCATCAATAATCAAATTCAGAACTTGAATATTCAAGTGCAATGTCTGCTCATGAACCCTTCAAACTCGGTACTTCTTTCCCAATTCCATAAAATTCAAAACTTAGAAAGTGACAAAAAACATTAAAATAAGTAGTTGAAACAGACTACAGCTAATTTTCATAGTGGACTGTACTATACGATAAACATGTCAGTCAATTTGACAACCTTTGTCGGAAACATTATTCAATGAAAATATTGTCCGAACCCTTAGTATTTCTCTTCGACAAATACTTTAGAATGAAATAATCACTCATAATCCCACACTTCTTCATCCACTGTCTGAAAAAAGAAAGAATATTATTTAAACACAATTATAAATATTACAATTACATAAACAGTTCATAAATAGAAACATTTACTTAATCCTATTTGTATTTTAAGTTTACATACAAAATATTGATCACAGTATTATTACACGGTGAAAGAACTATGTGAAATAAATATAGGAAAGAAGGTGAAAGCTTATTTGTAGGAATAAAGATATTTTTCCTTTTCTCCGGTGCTGTTACTTATGAAAATCAAGATCTGCGGAGTATAGCTAATATTTTAGACTTTAGGTACTTACTTTGCTACTTATGAGTGTAACTTTATTTCTCAAATCTCAATAAACTTTCTGACTGCTTCATGTAAGTTGAATAATTACTGTAAACCTCGCATTATGGGGTAGGTAGTGGAGTTCGGTTATTCTGTTAATTTTGAAGACTTCATTCTTTAATACTATCGGTATGATTAGGAATTCTTCATTGTTTTTCTTTAACTTGGTTATCTCTTCGTTTGATATTTTCCGTACTTTAGAAATATTAAAAATAAGACTGGAAACATAAAAATACAATTTTAAAAACACAAACAAATACAATCAAGCAGTCATGTAATGTCAACAAAATTGACATAACTTTTTTTTAATGACGTTCTCACTGCTTTAAGATATGTGTTTTTAGCCGAATTAGTAGCAGAAATGAACGAGATTGAACGAATGAGCTAAAATATTTCAAGGTTGGCCAACATAATAACGCAATTTTTTCTTAATATGGCAACAATTCGGTTATCACGCGATAGCGGTCGATAGACTTTTCTATCGATGGTCCCATGTTAGGGAAAATGATAAAATTATCTACGTGATCGAAAATTGTCTTATCATATCATGTCATTGTCGATGCGCGCATCTTAGGCCTACTGGGTCAGGCTATACGTACTTTTTTTTCTGAGTCAAATGAAGAGAGTAGGGGTAGGTAAAAGTAATAAAACGACAATTTATATTACCCTAAAAGTAGTAAAGTACACTTTTATTGTGTATCATTTTCAGACAAATTAAATTTATACATAATTATATTTGTTGGAAAGAAAAAAAAAGACAGTTGAAAAATATCGAAATACAACAACACCTTCGAAATCTTAGCACAATCTTAGTTCGAAATATTTTTATAGTGAAGATTAACTTTGACCGTTTGACGGTTTACACACACTGTCACGTCACGTCACATTTCAAATTTTATATCAGTGGGTCTAGACAAAGTGCAAATTTTAATCGCAAACCAGTCGAAAAGCCTTTTTTTTTTGTATGGAGTTTTGACGGATTCGATTTTCGATTCGATCAAAAAGTGCACTTTATCTAGACCCACAGATCAAGGCTCTTCAGTGACATTTACAGGGGGTCGCTGTACAGAATTTTTTCTATGGGGAAATGTCAAAATAACATTAGTTCCGACTTTTGTCACATGCCAAATAACCGTGATCGGAACCATGATCGAACTTTTTCGCGAAAGTAAAGGAAACGATGCCCATTCAGCCTATTTTGCAAATTTGATAGAAAATACGTAGATTCTGGGACTAAAGTTCGTAGGTTTGCAAGGAAGGCTTAAAATACGTAGATCTACGTAAAAATACGTAGAGTTGGCAACCCTGTGTCAAGTTCAAATCAGGGTTGCTACTTGTAAAAACTTTTGGATAGAATATTAGAATAAATAATATTGTGCAGGGAACGAAGTACTTAATACAATTTTTATTAGATTATAACAATTTATTTATTCCTACCTCTAACAGTGAACTTTTATCATGTTTAGTTTTTATTTTATTTATTTTAGTGAGTCTAGCCGTAGAAAGAACATGAAAGTTCACAAAGTAGCCGCTAGATGGTATTGTTGGGATTACACTTTGTCTTGCACTGCTTTTTTAAACCGCGCGAAAAAGTTTTTTGTTGATCTAAGTTGATACTATCAACACTGCTACTATCAACTTGATAGCAGTATTAATAAAATAATAATAGTAAATATTACATATTAAACAATCGAATCAAACGGCGATTAAACTTTCTCGGTCTTTAATTACATGCAATGGTTGGTTACTAAAATCTGTACCCCCAGTGAAAAGGGATCTAACTCGACTTAGATCAAAATTGACTTTATAACATAATGTGAATCTCTGAAAAATTAGCTATTTTTGTATCTAATCGGTATGTTTCTACGACGTATAGAAAAGAAAATAATTTTGTGCCAAATGATACAAGTAAGGCTTTGTGAACCAATTTTGAGTTTTATTTCGTGTATATTGATACATGTATACTTTTAACAAAGTGTACCGGAGGCTTCTTTCAATTTTTTATTGTGTCAAGAGGTACGACTCGTGTTACTACTTTTTACACGATTGAAGTTGTTCCGATTGAATTTGTGATTAACAATATAAGATGACTCATATTAATATACACAAAAAAAACTATGTATTGTTGGTTGGTGAAAAATAATGTAACTTAATTTATAGCACAAAAAGTAAAAGAAAAATGATTATTTATTTTGTGTATAATGATTCAATTAGACTAATNTTGCAACCTAATGTGAATGCTTATAATAAAACGTTTGTTTTTATTTGTATAGAGAACAATAGTGTCTAGACAAACCTAAACAGGATTTAGGACGCTATTTGGATCAAATATGTAATTGCTCAATAATGAATAATAAATAAAATAAAATAACCATAGACATCCGAGGTCTGAATTTAAAAATAATCTCAGATAGTGCAAGCAATACAAAGCAACTTAATATATATTATAATACTTATATTGGAATGCCATGACGCGCTCCTAAGTCATTGCAGATGCAAATGGCGTTACCCTGCACTCCTGAAGTGGATCAAAGGACACAGTAACTCCTTGGGCAACGACGCAGCAGATGAACTGGCCAGAAGGGGATCGTACACGACGGTATTTGGTCCGGAACAATTATAATGCCGATACCATAAGCACAGATCAAGGCCTGGCTGCGCTCCAAAATAGAAAAATAACACCACACAGAATGGAAAGATTGTGAAAGATGTAGGCAAACAAAAGATGCAGTTGTGGATATTATATCGAAAAAGTTAAAGACTCATAAGACTTAACAGGGACAACATCCGCAAGGTCCTAAGTGTAATAACAGGTATGTTAAACAAACACCTACACAGTATAGCTGTACAGACAGCCTGATGTGCAGAAGATGCATGGAGGCAGAAGAAAAACCACAGCACGTGCACAAGGAGTGCAGAAGCGTAGCAGATCAACAGGCTCAAATTCTCCAATCACCAGGGTCGCTGCAGAAGGCCTGTAGAGACCTAGATAGGCTGCTGCTACCTGGGGGGATCTGGAGCGGTTGGAATAGGAAGATCAAATAGCGCACAATGGTCTAATCAAAAGGTTAAGTGCAATATTCGATTGCCCTGCAAAACTAACTACGTAAGTCCTTATGAATGGATACTATGTATAAAGTAAATAATTATGTAAATGGCATGTGTTGCTGGACTTTATCTGCTTAGCTCGCAAGTATAACATGTCTTGTTAATCATGTCTCTATTGATTTAAGAAGATTCCCGTCTTAGGCAGTTCGATTTTTTCAAGTTATTTATGATTTAAGAAGAGGCTGACAAGGGTGGCTAAATATCTTGCGCTGCTTCTTCTCAGCACTGACCTATTTATGTCCCAAAATAAAAGTAGGGTTCAAGTGATACTAGGACGTGTTAAAGGGCTTTTTAAAAGCCTCTTTGTTGAAAACAAATGCATTTTATGACTTTACTTTTATATTATCCTTCTGTAGCCAAAAAGCAATCAATATAGCTTGACATCATCATCTCTGGTCCAGAGTTTGATTCCCAATAAGGTAATTGTAGAAAACAAACTTTTCTCTGTCTCCTGTCTAATTAGTTGATGTGAAACCATTGTTGTTTCTGGTCTTTATTACCCAATTGCTTCAACTAATACTTACTTTAAAATAGGAGATAATGTATGTGATTTAGGCCGATATCATTCATGGTATATGGTGTAATAATTAATAAAATAGTAGTTTCAGATCAGAATAAACATTTAAGGAGTAAATAATTAGAATCCACTCTAAAATTCTAGCCTTATTCCTTTACAATCGCCACTTATATCACTTTACACATAATTATTAGGATACTTAGATCGCTATTATGTTAGTTAGATCAGTTTACACATTTTTTTTCTCATCACAAAATTGGTGTATATTGATATAAGTAGAAATTTTTGGACGATTTACCCTAAATAACCTGAAATAATGATTCCTCATAGTGTAATTACTAATGTTTGTTTTACAACTTTTTCTAAAATTAAAGAAACAAAAAAATATC